ATCTCTTGCTCTCTCTGGCTTCGTTAGCTGATATAATTGCGCTTTGCTCAATCCTAACTGCTTGCAGATGAGCTGCTGAAGCTCTCCAGCAAAAACCATGCCGAAAGTCCGTTTACAAAGTTGAAAACGGGAGTTGATTCACCATGGTTGCCTATTAGTGGCTTAAGCTGAAAACGGAAAAGTACTACTCTTACTTGACTCTGGATAATACTTGACTCGAGTCGTTACCGGTCACCAAAAGCACACAGTCCCCAAGCTCGATAGCTAAGGGATATCTTATAAAAGCATGATGCTTGTATATCATTAGAATCGAGCGCAATCGTACTTTTAGCCAGAAAATAAATGTCCGGGTAATTCTGGGACACCCTGTAGGTACACACGTCACATATCACATGTCACACGGTTCCTACATGTTTAGAAATCACGCAAAATCCATTTCGGATGTTCTGGCTTTCATCTCTGATGTAAAAGCAGCCATTAAATGGCAGTTATCATTTTTGGCGTGCTAATTCCTGCATCGGACCCATAGTGCGGTGGTGGGATAGCGCGGCCGCCGGACCGGCCCGGGTCTCAGCTGGGAGATGCCTGTAACCCTGCCACCGCGGCCGTGGGACCGGCTGGCCTTGACCCTGGCCCGGCCGGCGGCGGCGCTCCGGGAGACGCAGTCGTTACGAGCTGTTTAAACCGGTGGGTGTGAGTGGGAGGGGTGCTGAGTTTTCAACGGGTCATTAGTTAGTGTCATTGTGGTGTGATTGCCCGTGATCTTTGCTCTCAACTCGTTGGTCATTCGTTGAAGACGCTGCGGTTCAATTTACTTCTACTCATCTGCAATCAACTGCTGCTATTATCCAGTGTAGCGTGGGATAATGTTATCGCATTGAACCATCATTTGTCTCGCGATAATGCAAATGATCCTGGAAATGATGGCTGCCGCGTATCATTGTGAATCTATGACTTGCTTTTTATTGTGGTTATGTGCCCACCACCTTCTCTACTGCATCGAGCTACAGCACTATAAACGGCGTGAAACTGTTCCTTTCTCTGCCCGACCTGACCCTTGTATCAACCGTGGGCGTTCCGATGATAGCTCAGCCGATCTGGAGACCAGCCGATCTGGAGACTGCGCGGTAACTGGGGACTGCATGGTAGCATAGGAGCGTATCCTGGCCGTCCTACCGTCTGGCGCTTCCTGAGGGACTTGCCTATTGCCAGCGCTAACTCGCTGCACCGGCCGCTTCACTCAGTCTATTTGCCGAGTGGGGTCGCTGGGGACGCCCCTGCCTTGGGGCACAACCAACTCTCCTCGTCATTGACGTCACAAATTCCTCACCTGATGACGTCACTGGTCACACAGCACAGCTTTTATTGCCGTGACTGGCGGTGTGCAGTGCTGCTGTGTTTGCTCACTGGCTTCTGTGGGTGTGTGAGGGTTGCTTACGAAGGTTTCCGGGGACTCTTTCGCTGACTCTGATCTTGCCGAACTGACTGGGTTGTTACTCTGACCGGCGGGTGTGGCCGAGAGTGTGCCGTGTCAAGGTGATCGGGGTGCGGCGGTCAGGTGCCGGCCCGGTTCGGCCCGCTGCCCGCCTGTCCGACCGGCCACAGCGATATGCCAGTTACCGTGGGAATCATGGCACCGATCGTGAGGCGCGGCCCAGCCCGACTGCTGCCCGCTCTCAGGATGGGAATGTTGTGCGATGAACCGGCTGATCTATGTAGGTTACTGAAGGAATTAAAGCTGATGGTTGCAGTGAACGACAGAGACAGCGATTCGACAGAGAGATGTGATGTGGCTCAAGCATCAAATATCGCTTTCAAACGAGGTATACCAAACGATCGGCTTTCAGCCTGTTTGTCAGAATAGCCTGCGTGAGCTCGCTGTTCCATACCCCGTTGATACAACACACAATGGGAATGCACAGTGCACATTTCAACATGCCGTATGTGTTGTAACAGGCCGTGCCGTGCCTTGACAAATTTTGCCGTGTCGTATCACAGCGCGCTATAGCACAACTTGCATTGTCCTTTAGCATGTCATGCAGGGTGATATCGTGCCTTGTGGACATGCCTGGGACTCCCCACCACCCAACACCCCCTATCCCTGCCGGGGACGGTCTGGTGTGCGGCGGTGCCGGTCCTTTCGGGGCGCACATCGGTCACGGTGACACGCCACGCGTCGTGTCCGCACCGCGCCGGACATGTGCTGTTTGTTACTGCAGCGCCCGCGGACATGCGAGAGCCCGGCGCGGTCGAGTCAGCAGCGGCTCTGGTGGTGTGGGGAGATGGGACGATAGGGCACGGCGGCTGGCGGTTCGGTAACTAACGGTGCGACTGGTAACCGTGTGGTGCGGCTGGCAGCGGCCGGGCCGGGCTGTGGTGTGTGATCTGGGGTGGGGGGGGGGAGGGCAGTGTCTAGTTGGGAAATACAGCTGTTATTTTTTGGGCGCTCCGAGGTTCACCTGTTTGACCGAGCTAGCTATATTTCCATCAGCCCTTGATAAGGAGATACTGATCTAATGTCTTGCCGGACGCTAAGTATGTATCTTTCACGCTTTGGTTGTGTTCTATCAGCAATACTGGCGTCTTACAGTTGACCCAGTGAACCGTTTTTTACTTTTATCTACTGTGACCGGACATTTGGCTTGCGAAATTGATAATGGCCTGTGAAGACTTCACCCACGATCGGGTCCTTTCCCTTTGTTCCAAATACCTACGTTTAGTGGCCACTAAATTTTAGCTCCGCCGTTTTTTCCATTGGTGACATTCGCTATCTCTGTCCAAGCTGAAGTACAATGGGCCGTTTATTTTAGCCCCGCCACCTTCTGTCTAAGTCTTCCAAGTACGGGTGTCGCGAGTGGGAACAATGCTGTGCGTGCTGGGATGACGTGTTGCTAGGGCATTCACTAGTACCCGTCTGAGATCGGCGCCAGTTTCTGGTTACTGTGTGAGGAGCCGTCTGTCCAGCGGTGATTCCAATTCAGCCCGCACCGTATTGTGATGTCTGGTGTAGCTTTTTCACTGGTGGAGCGCTTTCAGTCCGAGTTTGACTTCTTGACAGTCATGCATTTGCAATTTCAACTAAAAATTATGCATTTCAAAAACAAACTTATGCCAACAAAGTTGCTGCTTTAGTAATCCTTCCGATGGTTTCTGAGTGGGCTCAAGTTTAATTAGCAATCCAAGGTGTGTTGATTTAGTATTGACTGTAATCCCAGTGCCTGTTCAGTGTTCATTTAATGAATGTGTTTGTTGTTGTCTTCCAATCTGAATAACGATCCGGTTGATTTAGCCGGTAACGGGTTTTTTTCCTCGGTGTGGCGAGGGTCTCTCCCATTATTCACGATATAGCGGCGGCGTCACCGGCTCTAGACTCGACTGATCCAGGCGGGACAGACGCCAAACTCGTGGCAGCGCCAAACTTTCCTACAGTGCAGTGGCCGGCACCCATCCGCTGCGCTGGCTATATGAGCCGGGTTACTTTCTATCCAGTGTTGTCGCTTGATGTGATCGAGTATTCTTTTGTGCTGGTTGACGGAATTATGGAAACATCGGTGATTTTTAGAGCATGTCATAATTGATGATCTACAGTAAACCTTCGCTCACCGATAATGTTAGCTTTCATGCAAAAGCCCATGCAAGAATCCCATCTGATAAAACCAAATACCGAGTTCAATTGAAAACAACAATACCTGACATGAAAGCCCGCCGGGCCGGCGCACGCACGCTTTTTACCGACTGGTTGGCGCGCGTGGCCTTTCACCCGTCGGTGGCTATTGTTGACGGCCGTGCGCGATTCGCCAGACGTGGCCGTGGGCCGTGCTGGGTCGGTTGCTCCCTCTCCCGTTCCCAGGGGTACAGCCCGAGGGCGCTCCGCGGGCGGCCGTGGGAGGAGATCGGCTACGGTTTTTGTGCCGGGTGCAACTGCTGACTGATGGCTGAATGGTGTTCCCCGGGCGGCCGCCGCTGGGCGCCGGTTCATTAGCCCGCAGAAGGAAAACACTCGGTCCGTCCGTCAGTCTGTATCCGTGCCCCGGGCAGACGTGAGCCGAGGTCAGCCGGCGGGCCGGTCCGGTCCGACTGTCACGGAGTCCCGTCACCGGGTGCCGCCGAGCGCGGCCTATATGGCGCGATCGGTGAGGCCGTGTTTTCCACACGCCAGGTCCGCCGAACGGCCCGGCAGATCGCCATCGGTGACGATCGCCGCGGCGCCGCCGCACGCGCCCGTCCAACTATGGGTAATGACGATGAATGGCCGCGAATTTATGGTTATGAATGAATCCATCTATCGCCGAGGTGAATGCCAGGTAGCAGGATTGATTTTAGGTGCTTTTTCTTCTTGTTCTTTTGTGAGGCGAAATGGGGATGGAGTGTTGTATCTTGTTTGTGAGTGGCCTTGCGGGGTTTCTGGGTGCGTCGTATTCTAATGCGAGCCTGCGGTAGCTGTGGGGTTTCGTGTCATTCGCACGCCCCGCATTCGTGGTCTGATCTGAGCTTAACAGCCGACCTTGCGGGAGTTCCCCGAATCTCAGCCGCCTTGGCGTCTGCCAGTGCTGCATGCAATGAAGCCCGAAACCCAGATAGCCAAATGTAATATATTTTCGTAAATACTGAATGAAATCGAAAGTTGAATAAGTACTAGTCAAATATGGAACACTTTCCATGATGCCCTCGAGAGCTGCTGATGAACGAATGTGCCTTTCAATGCTAGCTGGTCTTCTGTTTCTGTAGTCCGGGCGCCCAAAAACCCCAATTCATCATCATCTGTTGCTAAAATATGCTCAACCACTTGATATATTTCAGTATCCTGTTTCGAGACAATGCTCCTTTGACCGAGTAAATCTCATACGTGTCATTCCTCCCACTTCCCAGCCTCCGTATCGACCCCATGACCAGCACTATGCCACCGGACACCGGTCTCCTTTTCTCCTGGTCACGCGCGCTGCAGACCGCCTCTCCACCGCCCGTCCATCTAACCGGCCCGTGCCCTCTGCTCCTTTCAGCCCAACGACTCGTGGGTGACGGTGCACTCGCTGAAGACCTCGGACGGCGGCCTGCTCGACCCTGACGACCGTCTCAACGATGTGGCCGACGACCGGGAGCAGATTGTGGCCGTGTTCGAGGAGCGGGATGGTCGTAGCGGGCCGTACGGCAACGGTGACGGCCGCTCGGCCAGTCCGCCCGACGGCACGCGCAGTCCCGTACAGGTGAGAGGATGGGGCGAGGGAAGAGGGGGACAGACATTGGAGAAGAGGGCTCGAAGAAGAAGATCGGGTGTTTGGAGGGAGGGAGCTCAAGGCGGTGACGTTCCCTCTTGACCCGCTCTGACGGTGCCGATAGCGTGACCGTCCCCTGGTAGTGAGTGTTTGGCCAGAGTTGTTTGGCCGCCCCTCAGCTACCGGCTCCCACGGACGCTTGACGGTCTCCTCTGTGGATTTTTATCTCACCCACACGCACGGTACGGGGTAGCAGCAGTGAAGTTGGTGGGGGTGGTCGTGAGGAAAAAATGCGCGTTTTTGTCTACCACAGTGGTTGTTCTGATTCTGATTTAGCTGTTGCTGAGGACATGGCGTCCGTGTGGTGCGACGATTAAAAGTAACAGCGCTGAAGTTTGTGGAGCCACCTTGTTTAGCTCCTTTTGTAACGGTTTATCACTTTGAAGAAAGCCCGATTAAGCGATGTTGGGGAATGAGGAAACGTCCACAACTGGATGGGCTACTGGTGACATAAATCGTCTTATTCGAATGTCCTGTTTCATGACATGCTAAGTGCTAGGGAAACTTTGAGCTTTCATTTCATTAGTTCTTAATTATCGTTCATTATTTTGCTGTGAATTTTCTCTTGCAACTTGGCGCAAGCAACTTGTCTCTAAAAGTTGTTTTCTGAAAGTTGCTTCTGATAGAAAGCCGTAGAAACTCTGGGCAAGTTCCAACGACGTCTCCTTTCTTTCGGCGCTGTCTCCGTAAGCTATTGATTCATGTGCCGGATGACGGGCCGCGGTCGGGGAGTGACGGGTAACGATGGGATCGCCGGAGATTGTGGCCGAATTCTCCGGAGATTGTCGACAACTACCTTGAATTGGCCACCAAAAATGCGGACAGGAGTTGCGGCGGCAGCGGCGAGCGAAAGTGCTCGGGGCGGAGACCACTGGGGCCGTGTTTGTGTGAATCGCAGTGAGCTCTGTAGTAAGCCGGCCTGGCGATTGTCGTGGAGTGGTGGTCTCTGGTGACAGGCCGGCCGCAGGAAACCCTGCGGTGGCCGTCTCCCTGAGCTGTCGACGTGTCGGTGTGGGCGTGTGAGCTGCATGGAACCGCAGCGACCGCCTTGGCTGCACTGATACCATCGCTGTGGTGTTGGGTAGTTTTCTTGCCTGGGCAGGTTTTTCGTTTGGGGCCATTGATGCGGGTTTGGTCGTCCTTGACCAGTCGGCCAAACTTGACAGCCAAACCACGCTGGCCTCAGTTCACTGCAGCATCGGCGATGCTGTCATGTTTCATCAAAGGCGTGCTTTTTTATCTGCTTGACTCGACCCAGACTGCTAAGTGCGTTTGGAGTATGGACTAAACTGTCATTAGTTCCGACGCTGACACGAAGTGAACAGCGCTCTGTGCTCGGTCTGCCTGCTGGTCAGCCGGTCAGCTCGCAGTTACTGCACTACCGGGCCTTTCACCGGCCCAGGAGAACGTTCGTTTTACAACAGCGAGCCGGCCGACCGCAGGAAAGTAGCCACTGCCGTCACCGCCGGCCGAACTGATCGACCGCGTCCAACAGCAATGGCCAGGCGTGCGGGTTTATTATCGCCAGACCCGCGCCGGTCATGCAGTGGCCGCTCGCTGGGCTGAGCTCACCGCGGCGGCAGCGAGATGGAAATCGAATCAATGCCAGACCACGATGGTCATCGGAGTGGAGTTGCAGATGGAATGTGGGTCACGACAGGAAGAAAGCGTGGTGGATCGGCTCCGGCCGCGGGATCAGTTGGGCTGTGTGCTCTGATAAGATCGAACTGGGCTGGACGACGGGCGTGGTGCGTCCCGGGGCCTACCGAGCCGACCGGAATCACACGCTGCGAGGAGGAGGAGAGAAGGAAGTGCGGGTGTTTGGACCGAACGGAAATCTTACAAACGGTCCGTTGGACGTGTGTTTGCGGGACAATGTATACAGCGTGTCGAGCAAATCACTGTGTCGGGCTGGCAACAAAGTTCGATCACCCCTCACCGGTCAGTCCCCTGCCCCCCTTCCCTGCTGCTAGGGGACACGACCGTCCCGCATCCAGTATGGGATTGGGTCAGGTGAGGGCAGCGGCCCTGCCAGTACCCTGTCGCCGAGCCGATGGCATCGCCCCGGTTCGGGCGAGCCCCGATCTGTCGTGCCAAGCTCCGCACGGAGTTTCGAACCGGTTTAACATGTCATGGACCGGGGAGTGGTAGCCTACCGGGGAGCCCTGGTATCCAGTGGTCTTGATTGTTGGTATAGAGACCGATGTATACTGTCGCTGTATAGTATATACAGGGTGTCCGGAAAGTCCTGGCGCTTCTTTTGGACGCCGTGTAACGCGCGCTGTGATTATTGGACATTCAGCCAATCATCACAGACATGACCCCTCGTTGATTGCTCAGCCAGGGGTCGTGTAAATATGACCTTGAAATCGTTTTCAGTGATGGGTAGATGGGCGAAGATGCGCCTTGTCGCTGAATGCCTGCGCGCGGCGGCCGGGTGCGACTTGAACGAGGCGCGAGTTGCAGCGCGATGCGGCGTTTTTCGATGAATGGTTTAGCAGGTAAAGGTTTATTTCGACTCGGGAATTCCTTAAAAAATATCCTCAGACCGTTTCGAACGCGATATGGGAACGGAGCAGCATTTCAGCGCGGCAATCGAAGAAAGTGCGGGGGTCTGATGGACAAAAATGTCCCATCATCTTCGTCAATGTCGAATAAATGAATAACAGGCTGGCCCACGAGGGGTTCCTGGACAGCCACATCAACCCGAGGGTCAAGACGACATGCCCTAAGGGTCACTTCGCATTTCAACAGTACAGAGCACCCTCCAACAACGCCGCCGCCATTCAAGCTAAACTGACAGAGGAGCTTGCCGGGCCAGATCACCGTGGCGAAATGAGATTAGGCCGCCTTATTCTCCTAACCTGACCCGCTCGACTAAGGCGTGCTACGCGTTTTGTAGAACAGGATCTAGGCCATTTCTCACCCCAACCTGGAGTCGCTGAAGACTCGCATCATGACAGCATGGGAGGACCTGGAAATGCCCCGCATCGTCAAAACCCGCAGACGCTTCCTCCCCTACGTCGAGGCCGTCGTCGGCGCCGACGGTGGTTACATTGAATGAGCACGTAGCGGAAGCATGTGGCTTGGTGTCCCTGGTCGTTGTTTTGATCCATTGATTAGTATCTATGAACCAATGGCATTTGTTTTAGAAAATGTTGAAAAGCGCCAGAACTATCCGGACACCCTGTACTGTCGTATACTGTCGCTGGCAGACGGAATGGATTCCGTTGGTTACTGAGGGCGTTAGTGAACCTGTTGGGTGACTGGTTTCGAACGCTCTCGTCGACGACTTTCGCCGGCGAGCTTTACAGCTTTACTGCCTCCATCGGTATGGGCCCGACCCGAATTAGTCGCTGTAACTCGGGAATAGCCGGCCAGTGAAGCTCCTAGCAGAGGCTGTGTTGAGACATGAGAGCGCTCAGCTCGGATACATGCTCCGTCGGACGGTACCGTCGAACAGAGTCCGTGTTCAGACCGACCGCTCGTGGCCGGCGGACATTGCGGCACCATAAACCGCGGTGGTGCGTGCCGCGTCAGACCGACTCCGGTTTATACCTTCCCGCCGGCTGTGCTACGGTACAGACCGGGATGGCCAGAGACGGACGGCTCCGTGGGAAGCTCACCCATGTCCGTCCGCCGGCGGTCCAGACTCAGGGTTCATCAGCGGCCGGCGCGTGGCGGCCAATGCGCGCCTCACGGCGGGGGACGAGAGAGCGTGGCCAACCAGACGGGGTGTGATTAAACTGGTAATTACCGGCGGTAATTAAATGTGCCGATCGTGCTGATACCACCCACGGCTTTATACAGATACCATCAGTCGCCACCCCACAGGTGCCGGCTTTGAATAGAAATGAAAAGCGGATACTGCCGTCACACCATACTTGGCGTGACTTAAATGCGTTTCCGCGCCGCAAAATGCTCATTAGAACCCGCTTTGTCACTTTCAATAATGGGTGGCACGCGCCGTCCCTCCCAGGACTCTGTGAAGGTCATCGAATCGTGCCCGCCCCTTCCTTGGAACTGGCCCGGTCCGTGCTGCTGCGACCGGGCCGGCTCTGCAGCTCAGCTCAGAGCCGACCGATCCCCTTATGGGAGCAGGGTCGGGGTGTGCCGGCCTGGCAGTCACCAGGCCGGACTGACCAGGTTCACTGACTGGTCAGCCCGGCTGACCGACCGGCTGGTGAGATGACTTCTGAGGATAGGCGTTCTGCTGAGCTGGAGTGGATATTCATTATTCAGTGTCCATAAACCGCGTACTGGATGTACGAATCTTTGTAACCTAGACATATAGCTGTTCACTGTTCAGGTCTGGCTTTGCCGGGAGGACCTGCGTGCTGGATTTGAGAAGCCCAACCAGCTCTCAACAGAAGTGGGAAGTTTTTCTCTAGTGTGACCACTGACCAGCTGGTCTGACTGTGCGCCGGCTGTAACCATTCGGTGGGAACCGCCGCCGTCTGGGCGGTGCTGCAGGAAGAGCTCGCTGGCCGTGAGACGATGAGCCGCCGCGAAACGGTACTGGTCGGCGTGAGGGCCAACCGGACGGCTTCTGAACGGCCGGCTGGCTCTGCTGGCGACTGAGCTGCTGTCGCGACAGCTGCAGCTGCTGCTGCGACAAAGGTGGTGTCACGGCGCCACTAATCCCTTGTTACATCTCGTCGTCTCTCACGGTAGCTTAGCTGTGACTTGTCTGGCGTCTGATAGGCTTTTCTCTGCCTTTTCGGTGTCACTGAGACTTCACTGCGGCCTCGTTCGAACTCGATATGGTCGTCCTCTGGTCCTTCTCATTCTGGAAAGGCGAGTGCCTGGGGCGTCGGCCTCATCTCTCAATCTGCGCCAGTTTACGCCACAGTCGGTCAGCCGCGAGCACTACCAACACACATACACACACAGCAGCCTGCGGGGAGGAGAGTCGACATCGAGCTTCCAGGCGTGTTGACGAAATAGTCGAGTCGTACTACTGCGTGGCCCCGCCGACTCCGCCGCCGTCACCCCGGGTGCCGCCGTTTAGCGACAGATTTCCTCCTGTTGCCCGCAGCGTGAGACGGCCTCCTGTCGAGACACCGGCGCATACCCGCTTCACCCGACAGCCAGAATCGTCCACCAATCAACGTTACGCAAACGGCGCCCCGCTGACGACGCTGGACCCGCCGGCGGACGATCGCGTCGAGTGTTACGGCTGCGGAGACCTTCGGACTGTTGGAACTGTCGGCTACACGGGGACTTGGCAGGGGCGTGCTGCCGGGAAGCCGTGTGTAGAATGCAGTCAAAGTACTCAACGCAGTGACCTCGCCAATCATCACTCTCCCCGACTCGAAGTAGCACTCCGCGGTTGACCGCCTCCGCTGCCGATCACCATGCCGTTTGCCACCGCTAACCGGGCGACACGCGACGGTAACGGCGACCATTCCGGCGCGCCGGCGGCGGTGGTGTGACCGAGCTATCTCCTCGGGGCGTTCCCGTCCGACCGCCACGCCCGCCTGCCAGTCAGATGACTGATGGGCTACCGACATGGTCTGAGGGTGTCCCGGTATTTGTGGTGACCTGGCTGGATATTCTTGTGATGTTATGTTTGGGTCTCAAGGTGAAGTGGTCGAAGTTTTCCAGAAATTAACGCTTCAGCTGTTTGCTGTGTTTTGGTTTAAGCCATGGAACCACTGCCATCCAGTGTTCGCAGCTCTGCTGGGTCGATGTCCGCGTTGTTCGCACCTCATTTCTGCCTGGTCACTGGTCAGCTCGACCGCCGGCCATTCTGCCGCCTTCCCGGCTCCGTGACGGCACCGGCCACGGCCGTGACCCGTGCCAGTGGGCCGTGACATTCCGTGACGGTCAGCCGTCACACCGGCTGCCGAGCCGTCTTCCCTTCTCTCACCACCATCACCTCTTTCCCTCGCCACCACACGACTGAGCTCTTTGATGGACCGCCGTCCGACCGTTGATGATGGCCGACCTTGCGCCGTTCCGGGTGGCCGCGCTGCTCCTCAGAGCGGCTAACCTCCGTCCCGACTCGCTCTGTTTGCGGCCTCTCTGAGCTGTGGTGAGTGGCCCGCAGTTATCTGACCGTCTGTCGGTGGCCGGTCCGTATCGGCTGATCGTGGAACGGAGTGGTTTGGAGATGCGGGAGAGCTTTGTTACTGAACTGTCAATGCGGTGAGCGAGGATTTGAATGGCCTGTGGGGCTTCCTGGTTTGATGTATGGTTAACCCGATAGGATCAGTGATTTTGAGAAGTATTCTGGGATTTGATTGTTGTACTTACTGATCGGGCTGAGTTCTGCATTTACTATGTGCCTTGTTTCGGCTATTTTGCCAAATTGTTTTTTTTGGGGGGGGGGGAGGGGATGGGCAAGACAAGCTTTTTCGAGAACTATCAACGCCGCCTTCACTCCCATGTCTACTAGGCAGGACCCCAGCTGGTGTTGATTAGTGGCTGACTTCTCCCTGCCGCCCACTCTCCAGCCTACGGGCATGTGTGTGACCTTGTATTACTGCAGTGTCGGCGTCTGGGTCTGCCCTCCCGAGGACATCCCCCGACCCTGCCCCATCCGCTAATGAATCGACCCTGCAAGACAGACTGGGTCATGCCACCCGAGCATCCTAAGTAGATAATCTTGAGATTGCATCATCAATCTTGAAGCAGATGCGCCATTAAGTGGTGTTATAATTCAGGGTCGGCCGCCAACTGTTATAAATCCCCAGTGAGGGCTGATTGGCGTGTGGTCTGATCGTTTTGGGCCGAGAGTATCGCCGGTTGTTGGCGCTACCCTGTAGCCAGGGGGTGGTTTTGTCCGTTTTAGTGTCTTTGGAGGTCCGAGATACCCTGCCGCGAACGGTGCCGATGGCTACGGCCGATAGTCGGGCTGACTGAGTGACCTCGGCCCAGTACGAACCGGGGCGACTCACTGCGTCACTGGCTTCATAGTCGCAGACACGGACACGGGCCCAGTGACTTGACCGTGATGCAAAACTACCCGTGACGGAGACGGCAGGGAGCCTCAGACTCCGCCGGCCCAGTCCGAGTCGCAGATACCTGCGCCACTGCGTCTCCGACACCTGCGGCGCGTGTCGCGGCCCAGATCTGACCGAGATGCGGTCCCTGGATCAGTCCATCGGGCAGCACGTGCTGCTCAGGGCCGGCGGCGGGAGGCGGCTCCTCGGTCACCTCCGAACAGCATACAGAACAGCCGTGACACGACATGTGTGTTGTTGGGCTATTTGTATGCCCGGATCCCCAGCGGGCGATGGACGGGCGGCGGTGGCGGCGCCGGTTGCTGTGCGGTTGATGAGAAGTTATGGTTGGTTTGGTAGAGAGGTGGCGCGGGGCTACACAGCCGAAGACGGACGGAGAATAGTGGGAATTTGTGGGCACTGAGTTTATGGCTGGATCGCTGGATGATACGTGGCTATGGGAACAGGGTGTGAGATGTGTCCTGTTGGTTCTTCTGGACGCGCGCACAAAAAGCCGACTGCTCCCGGCGCGATGTCACCGTCGCTCGTTGCGGCCGCGGGCTTCATCTCCCCTTCCCAGCAGTATGCTGTTTGTCTGCCCCGATGGCTTGTGCTCATAATCGTAAACCGGCGGGGTTATATTAGCCCGAATCGCGTTTTTATGTGGCATCAGATAAAAACGATGAGAGATTATAGTTGATTGGTCTGTTGGCCTTATTTTCTGGTTTGCACGGCTGAGATTGGATGGCTGCCAAACATTTTTTCGTCGCTGTTTGCTTTTCATTGATAACGATCCCGGCGTAGCCATTAATTGACATGGCGTTTTTTGTGATGTTCTCTTCTCTTCTCTTCTCTTCACGATCACCTATGACTTCTCTGACCAAACTGTTAATCAAAATACCTCGCTCCTCCCTGCTTCCTTTTATATCATGCCTTTTCCGCTTCGTGCCGGATGTTTTCATACAAAGCGCGATTTAACCGTGAAGTCACGTTATGTAACACTAGCACCGTGTTTGGCTCTGACCGCGACCTGCGGCGCCCCGGTCAATGACGCCTCTCGTTGACGGATAGCGGCTGACGTCATCTCTCACCGGGCCTCCGAACCGTGTCCCGTCCGTCCCGGCATCCGTGCCATGCACTCAGTGGGAGGTCCGACTCCTAGAGATCTCCCCGCGCCGCTGCCGCTGCCACCGACAAATTCCGTGACATGGCCTACAAATATCACGCCGCGGCTAATAAACATCGTCCGACGGCGGGCACTTTGTCTTTCGGTTTGTCGCTGTCGGTTCGTGGGGCCGTTTTTCGAACGGTGGCACTAGAGTGACACCGATCGGCGAGGAAAAACTCGTGAAAGCGCGGTACCACGGCGCACATTCCTGTACCCGGGGCTTGGATATCGGTTTTCGATAGCCGATTGGAGCAGTGCTATCGAACTTTTTTGATGACACTGCCCCAGTGTAGTGAATGAGTCATGGAAAATGTGTGATGGTTGTTGTTCAAACGGACCGAGATGTGCATTTCCATAGAACGAACGTGTATCGAAGAGCAGGTTTGCTGCAGTCTGCACTGATGGGTACGAGTGCGGTGTATCCCCTCCCCTCCCCTTTGAATGAGCGCATTGCTAGGATGTCACGGGGAATCATGACCACGGTGTGTTCCTCTGACTCGTGCGTGGACATTCTGCGACGCGTGCCGTCTGCTTCAACCTGTGATCTTCCGTGACATGCGAATGTGTTGCTTTGTTTCGTAATCACGCAGTTATGACGCCTCTGATCACAACTGATGTGTGTCCTCTGTTACAGAACGGTGACCACAAGTTCCAGTCGTTCTCCCGGGTGGATATTGAGGTGACCGGCGAGCAGGAGCACACCTGTTCACTGCAGGTAAGGTGACCGGGTCACGGGCCGAGGGAATTGAAAGGCAGGTGGTTGAGTCCGGTGGTGTTTTCTTGTATTGTTAAGTTTTGCTACTTTAGCCTGAGAAGTGTTTTCTTTTATTATGTGTATTGTGTGCATCGTGTACCCCGTGCCGGCGCTGGGCTCGCCAGCCGGCCGCCGAGCAGAGCCGCCGCGCCGCTCTGCGGCACAGCCTGCGTTCAGGGGCACGCGTGCCTCGGGATTGGCCGGTTGAATCACGTGGTTCGAGCTGTAGTCGAGTTAGGTCGCGGCGGTGCGCGGGGAGTTGGGGCTCTAGCATTGGACGCGGCCGGGTGTGTCGCTGGATCGCAGTGGAAGGATCGGTCTGCCCGGCCGTTTCAGAAACTCAGATCCACAGATTCATGTATAAACGGGTGTCTGAAAATCGGTAATCGGTCTGCCTGGCTGTCTACCGGGGTAAGGAGGCTCGTTTATACATGCGTCTGCAAAATTAAGGGATCGGTTTGATCTGCCGGTCTCTGTGACAGATTTGGACCCAACGCACCAACTTAACCATTTCACTTTGTATCCGACACCATGTCGGCTTGAAGGGCGGTATTTTTGGGGTAACCCTCGAGCATATCTTCTCGGGATTCATTTGTCGCATAGGTTAAGGGTAGAACCGGCACTGCGGCCGTTTCTCCGCTGGCGATTGGTGGCTCTAGAGTCTCTGACAGTGGGCGTTGTTTTCTGGTGAGTGAACTGGTTTGTCTGGTTTTCTGGTTACTAAAATACATCCTCCTGGTGTATTTATACACTCTTTGGCTTGGAATTGTAACATGTATATCATATGGCCGCAGCCGTTTATATTTTGCTTGCGTGATGTTGATATGATGTGACAACGTGGTGTCGTGCCTTGGTACATGGTTTTGGGAATTTTTCTTAATGTAATAATGCCTGTTTTTTTTTGTGACGACGACATGACTTGTGAAGTACAACGTGTGCTGTGACAGTAGAGATGTGAGACGACATCCCCCACCAGACTACCGAAGGTCACGGCGGCCGGCTGTATTCTGGAGCCGAGTCACACGCTGTCTCGGACATGCCACAGATGCAGACCGGCATTGTTAGGAAACTCGCAGGAAGTTGTTATTTCCGCCTGGATCCAACAAACTGTGTCCGCCATTCATGTAATGTTGCAGCTCGCACTGTCACGTTGTAAATGTTGCACGTTTAGCGCCGTACCAGACAGGATGTTCTGTTGTCTGTAATTCCGGCGCTCGTTTGTTGAAACACCGAGATTGTCATGGCTGGATTCTGGTGAACTACTATCGTCCGTCACACGTAAAACACTACTTAAAACGGGCGTGATGGCTACCCTCACCTGGCCATTCGTATGAATGGGCGGCTTTGCCGTTTGATCAGGGTTGTGTCATGATATGGACCAGTACCAGCTCCGTGTAAAAGTAACGATCTGAATCCGCCCACCTGTCGTTGTGGAGCTATTGGTGCCAGTTGTTGATGCACCGCACCCACGTCTAGCTCCTTCCAAAAGCCAGGTAGTAGCAGACGGAACAGGACCTTAGCGGTAGGCTAATCAGGGTGCCTGTAAAAACACATCTTCTCGCTGTGGTTTCAGATGGATATCTCGGCTCATTTGCACTCACCGTTACTCCGCTAGCCCATGGAGACTGGACTGACGTTCAGCAGTTCGATGGCCCGGAGACGGCTCGGCCGAGATCCGTGTCGATTTCGACGGACGATAGTCGACATTTGGGCCTGTCTGTTTGCTCATTTGGGCCAGCGTTTGGTCGCGGCATGACATACAAACGGACCGTTTTCCTATCTGGCGTCAGATCCTGTCTGTCCTGTCGGTCGTGCTGTCCGTCCTGACGACTGTGATTTCCATTCAAAGCTCCAGCTGAGCTCCCCTGTAGCGACTGTACGACTGTAGCGACTGGGGGTGTTTGAAGGGCAGGAGTCGCTGGTGGTTTGTAAGTCAGTATCACTTTTGATTCTGGTGACGCTGATGGCGATAACGGTGATGGTGACGTTGGTCCCACTGGTCCTGGCGGCTCCGAGTTTCCGCAGCAGTTTTCTCCGCCGCTCCGCCAAGGTCACGCCCCGTCCTGATTACGGCCGCCCCGCTGCCTCGATCCCGCCGCTGCGGCTGCTTTGCATGCCCACCAGTGGATGTCAATGCCAAGGGGAGGGCCGCGACCCCGGCCGCCGGTAACCGACTCATAATATGGGCCCGACCCGACCCGGTCCGGCGGGCACGGGGCACGCGCGCTGACTGCCAATGTCACACAGGCGGCGCACTGGCCGACCGCGCGCCGTGCGGGCTCATGTATGAACATCGATCAGGGCAACTGACTTGGAGCCGGGGCTCGTTATATGCACCGCCGCGTCCGTAGAAGGGCTCACTCAAACGGCTATCTGCGGTCGCGAACGCTGTCAGCGGAACTGAAAACAGCCCGAAAAGTACCTCGATATCTGTCGATCTTGTAGAAGGCTATTTTCCGTGATAGCCAACTTTGCTGTGGAAGTCTCATGTGAATTCAGACTCTCCTCCGTTATTACTGTTGTCATATTGCATCTCGTTGCGGTGCCCGCGGCGGCGGGTAGCGGGTCAGGCCGTTAGTATCAGACATCTGGTGGTGACCGTCGGAACTAATGGCTCCAGCCACCCCGACAATGGCCCTCCTGTCCACCGGAGCGCGAAAAGGACCGGCTGTGAAACGAGCGGCCGCTGTCATCTGCCGTAATGGCTTCGTGTACAACGCTCATGATATAGTGTAACATGGCTCTGTTTTATGCCGAATAGGATGTGGGCATTCATCCATGGAAAACCGTTCACTATAAACTACTCGGTGACGAGATACCTGTTCATTAATTGACGCCTCCTCTTCAACTACTCTCCTTTGGCCGTCTGCACTGTATATTTTATAACGTAGACTTGCTCCAGGTTCGCCTGTATTTTCCGGCTATCTCCTTTCGTCCAGCTGTCTCTCTCACCGGGTCTCCCTAGACACGACACTACCGGTCACCGCAGTGCACTGACCATGCCGCCGTGTGAAAACCTGCGCTCCGGCGCTAACGAAGGTGATGAAATGGCTCGCCGAACGGTAGCGGCGCCGGCGTGTTCCGCGTTTCCCGCGCGGCTGTGGTCGCTCTGTCCCAGTTCGGCCCGTGGGAGAGCACAGCGGAGCACCGACATGTTAATTGTGCTCCCGGGCGACCGAAAGCCCCAGATTGCACACGCGGCATGTTGATTGTCGGCTAACATGCCCATTGTCACGTCATAGAGCATTATCGTGACGAAGTTCACGTGTGCTGGTGTAATGTTTCTGTCAGTGAACTTTCTTACAGAATGTTGGCTACGGATCTGGCCTAGGTGAAAACAATAAGCTTGACACCACACGCATGATCGGCATGATTGATTGTCCGACAGAAAGAGATGGTAGTTCTGTGGACCATCAAGCTCCGTCGGCTCTCTCGGACATAAAAACGGCAGTGCTAATGTGCCTCTGTGCAAGACTACATCACAGTAGCCAGCGTTTTATATGGTCCTCGCCTGTATACAACTCATTTGTTGCCCCGTGGCCCGTGGATCTTTCTTCGTAGACGTCACCGGTCGTCCCGGGCCGTTCTATGGATAGCCTGCCGTCCCGGGCCGTTCTATGGATACCCTGCCGGCCGTCCACCCTCCGTCCGCTGCTGTATTTGGTGCGCGGAAGTGGCCGCAGTGGCTGCCCTGCGCGGATCCACCGGTTTGACAGGTCGGTCGGGCCGGTCGGACCGCGTTTGGGGAGGATTAGACCGATGTGAATCACTGTGCATACCGCGCGCACCGAGTACATTATCTGATGAACCAGCTGGCAAATTGGAGCCACTGTGCACCGGCCGTCGGCTCAGCGGGGCGCTGACCTGACGGATTCCAAAATACTAACCCGACTTGGCTGCTCAGTGTGCATGTTCTGCTTCACGGTCAGAATTATGTATGATTTTGTAGGTAGACCTTTTGGAAGCTGCTGCGTGGTTTCGAATACAGAGCATTAGCTCTAGCCATGCATCCGAGCTTTACGAAGTGACATGTAGTCGTCCCATAGCTCAACGCGTGCCACGGTTGATCCGAACTGAGGTCGCTGAGGTGGCCCTGTGACCTGACCCGTCGACCCACCAGCCACCGGCAGCCGATGCTCCCATTCACCCACCGTGGAGCGAACCGCCAGTCTAGTCCCAAGACGAATGTGTTTACCGAAGGAAACGGACTGACGGAAAGGGAAACCAGAGTGAATGGTGCACGATGTGTTTTATGGCGTGTCGTTGAACTGATTGGTCTGTGGAAGTCGTGAGTAACAAGGTGATGCTTTTTTCAGTGCTGTGCCGGTTTGTGGCATGAGTGCTTGCAATGCATAACATCGGTCTATGTGCTTCGCTCCCATTTTCGGCAACTGTTCTGTGCTCTGTGTGCTCTGTTTCTAGTCCTCTATTTATCGTCCCTGCTCTCAACCACTCCACCTCCATTGGTCGTCCCCCGTTCTGACTGACCGACTCCGTCTCCCCGGCAGGTCCGGCGCGGCTCTGAGCCCGCTCTGAACCAGCTGTGCCCGCTGCCTCAGTTCCCTGCCCCCGCCTCGCGCGCCGACGCCAGCAAACGATGGTCTGCTGCGCCCATCATAGACGACGAGCAGCAGGTCGGAGCCGCCAAACGGAAGGTGCGTGCTGACAGCGCCGTGGGGGCGGCGGCCTTGGCGGAGGAAGTCTGGTGGGTGGGTTTTGGGAGGAGTGTGGGCTTCAGAGACAGGCCTCGGTTGGCATTATGTATCCGGTGTAACGGAGTGGGTGTGAAAAAAAATAATTTTGGGCATGCTGTGTTTCAAACGTTTTGTGCATTCCTGAACAATTTTCATCAAGACAACTGCAGCGAACTGTCTACTACCGCGTTCATTTCTAACACTGGTTTACTGGGTGTGAGATAACCGCAGGTTGTTTACCGCTGCGTATCTGAACAATATTCTGAAGGAGTGGCGGTCTGTTCGTGTCGACGCGTAAATCCATTGTAGCATGTGGAATGGATCGGTTTGGTTGTGGCGAGGTGCTAGGGTCCAGGCTTCTCAGCCGAGGATTTGGTTTGCTGCTGACGCCGCATTAACTCCATATTGTTGTGTACGCTGGTGAAACGACTGCCCTGTCTGTGAATGGGGATGACATCTTCTATTGTAATGTCTGAACAAGAAAACCGTGGCTCGTGGTTTAGTCTGCTCTTGGAGAGAATCGAAGCTTACTAAACTCGCTCGGATGCACCTGCATGGAGTGGTGCTGTTCGAGCTCAGCTCAGACTGACTTCTTGACGGGCTCAGACAGCTCATGGGTTGTAAGTTACGAATGCTCCAGCTAACCGCAGCCAGCTTCGGGGTCTATTTGTCCAGCGGTCCGGCCGACAATGGTCGGTCCTCCATGTCAAGGGTCACGGCCGGGCGACGGGACACTCCGCGCTTCCAGCTGGGTGACATACCGTCGGTTCCGCTCGGGCGCCTCCTTCGACAACTGTAGACGCCTGTCTGCCTGTCCTGGGGCCTGTCGGTGTGTCTGTCGGCGTGTGTGTCGCCTGACAGAGCCGGCACCATTCAGATGTCTGAGACAACAGACAGCGCTCGCCGGGCTGTTGACTGGCCTGTCGGACGGTGCGCGGTGCCAGTAGCGACGCCAGGTGCGTTCTCGGCCCCTGACCCCGCGGATACGCTCGTGATGCGTGGTCACGGCAACCGGCGGACGCCGCCCACGACTGAGCGCGGGCCGGAAGTCGTCGGCCGCCTCCCCTCCGCCCCTCCGCTACCGTGACAGTCGCCGAACGGTGGCCACGCAACAGGGCGGACGGAGCGAGACCAAAGGACCTGTCGTTGATGGCGCTTGAATCGGCAATAAAGCTCAACACCTTGGATAATTCACGATGATGCATCAAATCTCACAAATACGTTGTCTCCCCGAATCGTGTCAAGCCATTGATTGCGCCTTTCACTACACTCAACCCGCTGTTCTGTGTCGCTCACCGTGCATTAACAGCTGCACCCACACCGCCCGCTTTACCTCCCCGCTCCGCTGCACGCTGTGAGTCACGTTTTATGCGTGAGGCGCCGCACTGCTCTGGCAGGTGTGTACGAATTCCGTCCGATCTCCGCCCCGCTCCGGAGGCCGGCCGTGGCGGCTGAGGCTGTTTGTCGCGCTGCACGTGAGCCGTGAAGGCCGGGCGTAGGGGGCCCGGCGGTGGGTTAGACTTCTGTCGAACCGCACCTGGAGTCTGGAACCGTACGCCGGAGTATGGGGGAGATGGTCGGACGAAGACACTGGCGGATGCGGTCAGATGGTGACGACCACGGAGGGACTGCGTCATTGTCTACGTCCTATGGCAGCATAAAGGGATTCTGGGTATGTCGTACTTTTGAAGACAAATATCCTGTTCATTCGCCAACAGTCGTCATTATTCCTTTTAGTTATGACGCACGTCTCATCATTTAGAACACGTGTGCTAGCGTCAGACATGGATAACCCCACTCTCCTGTTGGTTTGATCGAGTGCAGTGCGGTTAGCTGGTCAGCGGTCAGCTCGCTGCCTGTATAACATCATGGCCCTGTGCATACAGTATGCAGTGTGTACGCCTCAGTATCGGTTGGCGTCGGGCGCCACTAGTCCGCCCGCCGGCCACTCCCCGTGGCGACATTATCGCTCACGACTGCGGGGCTCACCGGCCCCCTCCCCCTACCAACGGTCATTCTGGTGGACGGCTGTGAGCTGGACATGGGGAACGGCAGAGTGGGTGGAGTGGGTGTGAACTCGGGGTCTGTTGAATTAACCATATAGCGGACTGGTGCGAAGCGTTTGAATGCACTCTTTTTATACGAGTTTTGACGAGTTTTCGAGGTGTAATTGAATAAGATGCGTGGCTCTACCTCATGGCTGATACGATTAGGTCAAGAAGTTCACCATCGTATTATAGTATTTAAGAATTGAATGGGTCGGACAATTTCTCCGGATAATCTGATTGTGACTGTGTTGGTTCCAATGTTCAGCTCTATGCAGTCTGAGAAACTGTGAAGACCGAACTCTGTGCAGGGTAAAAGCCGTCTGTTTATCGCCGGAATTCTGCCAGGGTGAGCCCTTTCTACTCTGGAAGGTCACACGCACGTCTTACTAATTATCTTTAGCCTGTAGGAACAATGTTAGCGACGGAAGTTAATTTGAATAATGTCCATTCATTAGTGTCCCCACGGCAGGATATTCCCCGCTGTTCTAACTTGAAAGTCGTGACTGGACAGTTAATCCCAGCCCATAGCTCACAGGGATTATGCGCCGTTTTGGACCGTCTTTAGTTCCTTATCCTATGTCATTCTTCGTTTCGACAGCGATATTTCAGAACTTGTTAATTTTGATGTAGCTTGAAAAGGTGAGCCACAGCCGGTCGGTTCCAGTTAAGACACATTGTGGCATGCGCCGTTCGCAGATTTTCTCAGGCTGTAGGATCATCACTTCATTGCCATGCGTGGGTGCGTTCAGGTCGACTGAATTCGGCCGTGGGCCTCCAAAACGCCGTTCATCATACCGCAAGTGGGGGCCGTGCCAGCTGCCACCGCCGGCCATACGCTCTGATTAATGTCTGTCTGTGAATCTGGAAACGGGTACTGCGCGCCGACCTTCGCAGAGAGCCGCCATTTATCATACGCAACCGCAGCCGCGTAATGCATACGCAATGGTGTGCTGTTGCACCATCGCCGGCTGGAGAAGGACAGGGAAAGACGTTTAGGCCCCCTGTTGCCCGCGCCACTATCACCAAGCGTTCGCCTCAGTTGGCTGTCAGCGGCCGAAACCACTCGCGTCGGCTCGTTTGTAGGGTAGGACGGCCCCTAAAAAACGCACCGACGGAGTGATAACGACGAGGTATATGGTCGGGAGTAAGGATATGCAGGTTTGACGAATCTCGAAGTCGCATCTATTAAATAGGTGAGGGTGGGTGGGAAACTTCTCGCCCACTCTCTGCTCCACTCGCCGTCCGTCGCAGTCGACGACTGCCGTTCGCGCCTCTCGGCTCTCCTGCCAGCGGCGCGCCCGTTCCTACACTCCCCTTCGCACCACCCCTAGTCAGGGTCTGCCCCGCGTCTGTCGGCGGGGTGATTTATCTGTCTCCGACCCCCGTCTCCCTTTGCTCCGGTCACGTTCAGTGGCGCCCGGGCAGGGTCCTAACCTTCCATAGCCGCGTCGCCGCTATGAGTTGATTAGGCCCCCTGTTGCCCGCGCCACTATCACCAAGCGTTCGCCTCAGTTGGCTGTCAGCGGCCGAAACCACTCGCGTCGGCTCGTTTGTAGGGTAGGACGGCCCCTAAAAAACGCCAAATACACCCAAAGTTGTATCCGAGGACATCTCTACAGCAGCGTAGCCGAGGCGTCGGCGGCGGACCTGATGCGTGTGGGTGCCGAGGCGTCGGCGGCGGACCTGATGTATGTGCGGTGCAGAGTAGGACGTCGACTACGGAAAATCGGAATACCGATACCAAACCAAGTACCAACCTAGGGTGCATTATACCAACAAAATACCGAACACATTAGGAATCAATTAGCAAGTACCGAGTTGGTATCAGTATGGTATCGGTATACCGAAAAGTTATATCCGAGGACATCTCTACTGCAGAGTAGCCGAGGCGTCGGCGGCGGACCTGATGCATGTGCGTGCCGAGGCGTCGGCGGCGGACCTGATGCATGTGCGACGTGCGTGCCGAGGCGTCGGCGGCGGACCTGATGCATGTGCGTGCCGAGGCGTCGGCGGCGGACCTGATGCATGTGCGTGCCGAGGCGTCGGCGGCGGACCTGATGTATGTGCGTGCCGAGGCGTCGGCGGCGGACCTGATGCATGTGCATGAGTATGTATGTGCGTGAGTTGCAGAGTAGCCGAGGCGTCGGCAGCGGGCCTGATGTATTTGCAGTGCGGAGTTGCCGGGGCGTCGGACGCATTGCAGTTGCAGAGTAGCCGAGGGGTCGGCGGCGGACCTGATGTGTGTGCATGAGTTGTAGGGTGGCCGGAACCAGGTGTTTTGTGTGTATCGCGTCGCAGGTTGGGGTGCCGCGTTGCACGACCCTTCAAAGCGTGCCTACCAGGCTCCCCGGTTTCCTTTACGATTGCGTGTGCGCTTAATGTGCCTCTGAATAGATGCGCGTCAGTCGCCGGGGAAACCATCCTCATGGTGGCGCCGCGTCAGTCGCCGGGCGACCATCCTCGTGGTCGCCAAGGAACCGCACTCCGCTGTACGTACCCCCGAGCCGTGCTCGATACGCCTCACCTGCCGTGCCGGCGTTAGTGTGCCTGACCATAGAATCCTTGTAGCCGTTGGTACTCCCCACAGCTTCCCTGCCTTCTCGCTCGCTCTCCGCTCCACTCGCCGGCGGCCATGTCGGCGTTAAGGAGTGCGTGATCGGATAATCCTCGTAGCCGTTGGCACTCCGCACGGATTCCTTAGCTCACTTCTCGCCCACTCTCTGCTCCACTCGCCGTCCGTCGCAGTCGACGACTGCCGTTCGCGCCTCTCGGCTCTCCTGCCAGCGGCGCGCCCGTTCCTACACTCCCCTTCGCACCACCCCTAGTCAGGGTCTGCCCCGCGTCTGTCGGCGGGGTGATTTATCTGTCTCCGACCCCCGTCTCCCTTTGCTCCGGTCACGTTCAGTGGCGCCCGGGCAGGGTCCTAACCTTCCATAGCCGCGTCGCCGCTATGAGTTGAGTGGCGGCCGGAAAATTGCACTGAGCTGCCGCTCTGACATGGCTGGGAAGTCTGGTTCGTGACTGTCTCCCTGATGCGTGCTTGTTTCCCGGCAACTAGTGCATTGTTTTGCAAGAGTGCGGTGAAAAAGAACAGCTCGCTCATGGCATTGCGCTTCTCACTTCCCGGGCTCTTCTCATCGCAGTGTAACGAGCTGCCAGCGCTGATGAGTTTTGCCGGAAGTTGACGGGGCGGGTGAAGTTTCGCTGTCGGTCTCGAGTATCGCCGTCCGGCGTGCTTTTCCCGCCGGTCGTGTCAACTGAGCCGGGTTCGTGAGGGCTGCACCTGTCGCTGCCCGGCGGCCCGGCTTGGAACGAGGCCCGCCGTGGTGGAGAGAGCGGTCGCGGCCAGCGTCACGGAGCGGCCGTCACGAGGGTGGTTTCACGGCGCCGGGGTGTCGTGGCTGTCACAGCTGTCACGGAGTGGTCACAGAACTATCACGGAGCTGTCACAGAATTGTCACAGCTGTCACGTTGTCAGGTTTATGTCGCCATGTCTCGCCGTGACCGGCTTGTGGTCTCGGGACATGCTCTCGTTACTCCGTGCCGTTGTCATGGGAGAGAGACCCTGAGATCGATACTCGACAGTTCACCGCTGATACAGCAACTCGGTCCCACGACTGGTCATGGCAGAGAGCTGAGCTCTGAAACAGACGGGTCATCGCTGATATAACATCTTGCTCCCACGACGGGACACGACGGGGTGTCCGTCTACTCTGGGCCAGTTTTCATCTCACAGCGTGTCGTTTTGCTTGGACCAGCTCGGCCAAACTGAGAGCTGATGTTTGGGTGCTAATGTCGCAGCGCTAATGCCGAAGTGCTAATACTGGGGAACCCCAGGCGCTCTGAGACGGAAAATCATTGCGGAAACGTCTACACCAACCGGTGGACCGGAACGGCCGAACGGACTCTGACAGGCTTGAGAACTTCCCGCTACTTGGGCGTGGGCGGTGCTAGTCCATCTATCATCGGACAATGGGAGCTATAACGTGTGAAAGATTGGCTGAGAGATGGCTCTATCGCATTGTTGTATTGTGACAAATCGCAGTCGCCTTGTCAGTGAAGATGTTTGATGTGTTGTGTAGAAGATATAAGGTATTCGTACGCCGTCAAATGACAACTAAGGAAGTGTCAAGTTATGTACTCAGTACTATAGTCCTATGTCATCGAGTGACCCTGTGTGTCTGTGTGTTACAGGCGGCCAGCTGCGACCTGCTGACTCCCCCGGAGGAGCGGGGCGAACCATCCGGGGACGAACGAGACCGGCTGCCGCTGCCCCGACTGGCCAGGGACATGAACCGTCTCTCCATGCAGATACTCGGCAACAGCGATCAAATGTGGCGGTGAGTGGAAACGAGAGTGGTTGAAATAGGGAAGGAGGCTAATAAGTAGGATGATGAGACGTCTTGGTATTGACTAGCTACTTAGTGTCTCTCGTCGTTTTAACGCAGTCGCTTTGACGTGTGACGGTATAAACCTTGTTAAACGTTGAATGTTTTTGCGTGCGATAAGCATTCTGGTGAATGACAGGGCTTCCTGTTTGTTAGATTTGTGCCTCCGCTCTCCAGCTGTGAGATGTCGGAGCTCTTCTCTGATCGGACCCGGTCACTGCTGGCTTAGGCAGTTTTCAGTGCGCGCTGGCACGCCTCCTGCCGTGCCTATCTTGCATTATCTGCGCGGGCGGCGAATCTTCAGTGGATGTTGGGAAACCTCTCGTGCTTATGCACCGCCGGCCGGGCAGCCTCCTCCCTCCATTCTGCACTATTTATTCGGCTATTTTGACGCGCCGTGTAGCAGCTGCAGCAGTGGGGGCGGCGGTGGTTCGACCTCGAGTGGATCAGGGCCGCCAGTCGCGCTGCCGGGAGCCCGCCCGGCGCGATGTCGGGGGTCACTGCCGGGAGTCGAGCGGTCCGCCGGCCTCCGAGCCTCCCCGCCGCCCACCGCCGGGACTGGCAGGCTGGGCCGGTTCCGGTGTCGGCTGTAGGGGCGGGGCGGTGTGTGAAGGCAGGGATGTGAAGGATAGAAGGAGTGGTGCATGTGGACCCGCAGGTGGATGGACGGACGAGCACGGTGTGAGGATGAGGGCGTGCGGTTTAATCAGTGTGTCGGAATGACGGAACGGTAGCTTTGAAGTTTGGTGCAAATGATCCGAGCTATAGATTCTTGTGTCATTAGTCAGCTCCCGCTCACTGCTCGTACGACCGTGAATGGTCTCGGCCAGCTGCAGTTCCGCTTGTCATCCTATACTGCGCTTTTTACCTTGCCACCTTGCACTCTGTCAGTGTATTTCCCACCCCTTCCTCCCCGCTGCGCTACCGGCATGCCCCGGTTTGGAGCGGCCTGCCAAGTTGGCGTGCCACAACCCTGTAGGTCAGAAAGTGAAAGCCGACATTGTAGCGACGTGCCGATGGACCGAGGTGTGCGCGGTCTGCATCTCAATAGCGCTGGGGCGCTATCAATCGAGTCACGCGCCGGCTGGCCGCCCGCCATCACGGAGGGCACACGGCCACACCGTGAGGGATGGAGTAGTACCGGTGGGGAACGGCTCACGGTGGAGCGCGAGTCGGTGCCGTGGGGGAGGGATGGTGATGGATGATGAGAGAAATACGAGGCGGGGGAAGAGATCGTGTCATCGGTGAGACAGGAAGTTCACCCGAATTGTGTGCTAGTAGCCGAGCACGTAGGCTATTTTAAATTGGAAGCCCTGACCCACTGGCGGACGTAATTAACCTCGATTCCGCTCAGAAAACTGGCCGCTCATCCGCATCCGAATTGGATCTGAAGACTGCCAGTAAGCTCGAGTTACGGCGTCCATACAAATGTACTAAATCGAGTGAAAAGGCGTGCCGCGAAGTCCAGGCATTCTCATACCGGTATCAAAAGAAGCATAGGGAGAACATCACGATCTTTAGAAGAACACACGTGATGCTACGAACTAAACAAAACTATTAATACGTTTGTGTAGCCATCTGATAAATGGCCCCGTTCAGTTCCAATCCGGGCCAGCTATTTCTGCGTCGGTGTGTTTATCTGAGGAATGTTGTCATCTTGGCTCTGTCCACTTTCTGTCCCGTCCACCATCTTTGAATCCGTGTCGCCGACAGGAAATAAATGATCCTTGTTTTACGGTCAATGGACTGTGTCCATTTCCGAGTCGTGTCGCCGTGGAACTCACTCGGAGTGAACTATCCCAGCGTGAATTTATGTCCCGTGAGATCACCGTGGCACTCTCTGTCTAAGTTCTCTCACGATCGGTGATGTCACTCCATTGGTCGCCGCCGGAAACTTTTATACTCTCGGCGGCATTGTCCGGTAGTCTGCGCGTCTATTGAAGCGTAATGGCGGTGCTGGCATGTAGCCTTGAAACAACGTCTTTGTGTGATTCTGGCCTCACCATGCTTCAGAAGACTGTTGGAGATCTGAGGCTTACATATAAAACTTGCTAGACTGCATCATGATTAGTTTCGAAGATGCATGGAAAAAACTGCATGAGACTTTGGCTGTCAATGTGTTTCCCAATGACGTCTTCGTCCCACGATGTCATAATGATGTTTGGGTGTTTAACCTCCTTCATCCTCCCTCACGCCCAGCTTGTGACCCTCTCCTGTCTCCCCAGGTGGGCGGACGCGGCGGACCGTGTGCTGATCGCCCGCGAGCAGCGCGGCCGGCCGCCGACCGGCAGTCCCGGCTCCCCGGACGTCTCTATGGAGGAGGACGACCGGCCGGAGACGGAGCCGGCCGACACCCAGCTGGTGGTGCTGTCCGACGTCCGAGGGCCGCTCGGTAAGCAGGGAGAATGCATTGTGTGGTGTATCCTCGGGCTGTTACGTGGTTTGGTGCAGCATTAGATGTTGGTATTTTATCACGTCGTGTGCAAGATTTTTGTGCTGTATGTTGCATCTTCAGGCCGATGTACGGTGTCTGTTGTTCCGTAGACTTTCGCATTATGTGTAGTGTTCTCTCAAATCGTCTCGCGTTATGTTGTTCCCCATGTTTGGATGTGGTGCTCGAGGAGGAGCTCTCCCTAGCCCGGGACGGTGGTGTGTGATGTTCCATCTGTTCCTCACGTTATGTGCGTTCACAGGTCTGGACGTGGTGCCGGAGGGCGACCTCTCGCCCTCCCGGGACGGCGGGGTGCTGGTACAGCGGGTGGAGCCAGACGGAGTGGCCGGCAGGGACGGACGGCTGCGGGTGGGTGACCGCATCACCCAGGTCAACGGACACAGCCTGGCCGGCTGCAACCTACACAGGTGAGACTGAGAGGACGAATCACGGCGGGAAGAGCACCCGGGGTCGGAGCCGACAGATCACAGATCTAGATTTGACAGCCGTTTGTCATGATGGTAACGACCGGACATTTTGAAATGTTTGTTTCCCATCTTAGTCCGAACTTTCTAAACTTCCCTTGCTCTAAGTCGGCACAGATTTTGCTTGCTTGCTTGCTGGGAGAACTGCGTATTGCTGCATTTTTTCCTGTTTCTGGTTTCCGGCACCGTTGCCGCCGTGCCGTATTGCTGTTGCCCGTTGCCCACCGATTCCCGCCTGCCAGCATGGTCTAACGGCCGCCCTGTGCCGGGCTGCCGGACGCAGATTAGATAAGGCCAGGTGCCGGACTGGCGTCGCTATAACCGACTCGCTGTTACGGTCCACAGAGCTGGCGGCACCGGCCGCCGCTCTCCTGCTGTTGTTTACCTGGGTTTACGGGGGCGTTCACTTTATATGGACGCAGTTACCGAGATTTGTGTTATGTAGTGGTGGTCGTTTAATTGCCGAATGTAGGGGAGATAAGATTGTGGGATATGATTTGATGACTTGATTCGACTTGATAGTTCGGTTTGCCATGAAATGCAGTACCTAAATGATATGCTGCAATCAAGTATTTTGATTGGTTTCAATCGTGGTATTGTCCTCATTGCCATATTGTTTAATGTCTTCACTGGCTGATATTTTTATCCCTACACCTTTCAATGCACTGTGTTATGCTCCCTTTATAACATCCACCAATCTCTGCCTCTCCGCAGGGCGCAGGAGCTGATGACAATGGCCATGAGTCAGGGCGAGGTGCGACTGACGGTCAGTCGGTCCCGCACCCAGCGTCCGCCGCCGCCGGCCCCCGTCTACCCCAGCAGCACCGTCAGCTCGCGGTCACAGACGCCCGTCGACGGCATCAGCCCAGACGAGAAAGGTACGCTCTGGCGTCCGTCTTGTAAGCTAGGTATCCTATGGGGATTCGATCATCTTCCACCGCATGCTAGTCTATATTTGTTGATACCACTCCCCACAGCTGAAGCCTCGAGGTTATCACCACCGCCCTCAGCCCGTCGCCGGGGTGTCCCCGAAACTGGTCAGCCGCTGCCGATGTAGCCTTCGATGGACAGCGGTGTTCGATCAGTGGCGTGTTTTCCTCTAACGGTCCGGCCGCTGACGGTAGCGGTGACAGCGGCGGCACCAGCGGAGGCGGCAGGGACTGGCTATGACAGGGATGATACCGATTGTGTCAAACTGACTCAGCAGTTAGACGCAGTGACGGCCACCGCGCAGAAAAACAGCCTACTGGTTATGGAACGTTCAGTTTTGCCCAAAAGGCGCAGTCGATTCTGCCGTGTCAAGCCATGAACTTTTGTTGGTTTTTGCTGGTGGTCGTGTGCGATGTTACTTTGATTGTTATTATGTTTTGACAGGTCCATTTTTGGCGTGTTCGGCTTCGTATGCTCTTTTGCGCATAACTTGCACCTAGTTATATCTGGAAATATTTCCCAACGATGCATGAATCATGCTGATTTGCAGTAACAAGAAAACGTAAGACCCGTTTGTACAGCTTCTTTTAATTAAAAGGTCTTGCCCGTTCAGTGTTTATCAGTAGTCATTTTAAACCGGTTGGATTTTGCGTCTGGTAGTGGAATTTTCCGGTATCCATCACGTTCGCCATTATTCTGCGTAGTTGCGGCCTGTAGTTTGTTGCCATTCATTTTGCTCCTGGCATCTAAACACATTAGGAGGGCAAACAGCCATCAATGAATTCCCCAGCCTCCGCCAACACATTGCTATGCCACCCTCCCTACGCCGTGACTAACCTTCCCTCCCGTTTTCTCCCCGCAGCGGTGTCTCGCGTGGCCACGGTGACGCCCACCAAGAAGGTGCCCGTCTCGCTCTCCTCGCGTACACAAAACGTCATCATGACGTCCAACACGCGCAAGCTGGGCCGCCGGATGACGGTGTCGCTAATGAAGGGCACCGCCGGACTGGGCTTCAGCGTCACCACACGCGACAACCCGGCCGGAGGGCACGCGCCCGTCTATGTGAAAAATATCCTGCCCAAGGTGAGGGTCTGAGTACGTGGGTGGAATTAGACGTGGGAGGTGATGGCTGACTTGTGCTTGAACGTGTGCTTTTATGATTTGAGGTTTTCGACGAGTGTTAAATGGTATGTTTATGCCACGTTACAAGCTTAATGGATGTCTGGAGCTCTGGTCCTGTTGTAAATTTGTTGTTTTGACTTTCAGTGGTGCGATGTTTCCATATTCGATGTTTTCTCTTCCAGATTCTTCCTGATCCTAACTAAATCCCCGTCAAGCTTACATCCTGTGCTGGTGTTCTACGCTTCCACATTGTCCAGTACTCGCTCAGGAACGAGAGCTGAATCCTACAGTAGTGATCATTCAGGGAATGTCCTGACATCGCCGTGGACGATGAAGTAAGTGACACGTTCCCTTTCTATGCAACCATGACCAGTCTGTTCCCTGCATATTACCCCCCCCCCCCCCCCCGCCGTATTCCTGAATTCAGCTCATTCATCTCATGTGTTTTCTCATGCGCGGTATCCCTCCCAATTCCATCAGCAGAACTGAATTCTAGAGGCGATCATGGTAGCCTGTGGATCTATTACTGTCTACATGCAAAAGTCTTGTGTACTGGCTCTTCTGCACCGTTGGTAGGTCTCTCCCATCTCCCTCTGACACTGTCCCCCATCTCTGCAGGGCGCGGCGATCGAGGACGGCCGTCTGCGTCCCGGTGACCGTCTGCTGGAGATTGACGGCTCCGAGGTGACGGGTCTGAGCCAGCAGCAGGTAGTGCAGGTGCTGCGTGCCGTCAGTCCCGGTCAGACCGTGCAGCTCATCATATCGCGGCACGAACAGCCCGACGAGAAGAGGACCGAGGAGGAGACGGCGCAGAGCCAGCAGAAGGTACGGATGAGGAGAGACTAGAGAGGGAATAATGGAGAGAAGGATGGAGGGAGGTGGAGAGGTGAAACAGCGGCTCCCTTGTTCAGAGCGAAGGACTTGATGGCGAACATTGCACTGTCATTGGGAAAAAGATCGTTTCGATGGTTGCTAGGATCGATACGGGCTTATAGTGAGAGGGGGACATTTGGAGCTGTTCTAGCCCCGGTATGTTCACCCTATGGCGTGCGCTGTACCGGTCTCACGTGTGCAATTTTCTGACATCTACACCTGTTTGAGCTGTACACAATGCCAAGTTTTCGGCGTCGCGCTCCGTGCCGAATTAACCCGCGCCCTGCTGGGGGTCCTGGATTTCCACGCCCTGCTGGGGGGGGGTGTTTGAACACCCCCCCCCCCCCTTGTAACTCGGCTCCTGGGCCACGTAGCGATACGCGGAAGGCGGCGTTCGAAAGAGCGTAAAAAATAATGACGAAATCACTTCGGTCAATTTTTTGGTCCGGTCAAAGGTCAGGTCACCAGAGGTCATTGAAGGCAAAATTTCGCCGATTTCCAGGTCGAATGTCGAAAGTTTCCAAGAAGCCAACGCATAACTCGAGAACCAATAGAGCTACAGCGCCGCGGAAAAGCGCATTCGATAGCCCTATTAACGCCCTTTCTGAATAATTCTCTCAGATTTGACCTAACGTCAACGGTTTTGCCTGCAGGGGGCAAAAACTGTAAAAATAGCCGATTTTTTCGAAAACAGTTTTTCTGCAATAACTTTTGACCCAAGCCTTGTACGAGCTAACTTTTACCGGCATCGTGTTCCTCTCGTCAAGACGCATCGAATGAACTATGACTTGACCTTGAAAGGTCAACTTGAAAATTTGACCTCGGGTCAAGGTCATGACCTGACCGGAAAGGGTCATGTTGCATATCAGTCGATCCGTATCGTCGAGCTGAACACATCTAAGGCGTTTTCATCGCTCTAGCATGCCTCTATCAAAAGTTATTTGCGAAAAACTGTTAGATACCATTCGTGACCTAAGATGACCTCAGGGCATAAACAAGGGTCACGGACACCATTTTCAAGTTCAGTGTGTCTAAACCACTTGTAATTCGGTGTTTGGGAGTGTTTATAATGTCTTTCATCCAAAAGAGGCGCATTTCAATTTTCTCCCATTGACTTATAATGGGGAGGTCGCAAAATTGACCTGACCTTAGGTCATCGATATCAAAATTCTGAGATATACATTTTGTACATGCTATTGCTCTTAGCAATCGCTGAAAGTTTCAAAGCGATCGGTCACTCGGTGTAGCTATGAGAGACATTGAAAGTTTTTATGAGGTGAGGTCACTTCAAGTGACCTGGTGACCTGACCTTGAATGACCTTGGTCTGAAATTTTCACAACATGTGTAGAATTGATGTATGGTAAGGTGTACCAAAAACGGCGGCGCTCCGCGCCGCCGTTTTTGAGATATTCGCGAAAAACCACAAGGGGGGGGTGTTCAAACACCCCCCCCAGCAGGGCGCGGGTTAATAATGTGGTGAGCGTGGCTGCGGATAGCGGTTCGGCCGGCCAGTTTCCCCGTTGGCTGACGCCGGCGCCTAGCTCGGTTTTCCGCTGTCCGATGGTGTCTCAGATAGGTGATTGGTGACGGCTGATGTTGGTGGGGGGGGGGGGGGCTGGAAAGGCCCACAGAGCGGGTCATATTGACCCGCACCCGTCTAGATGGAGGCTGGGGATCGAAGGCTGGGTCGATTGGGTCAATGATGCTGACGACATGGATGACTTCTGGTCCTACCGTATGCTATTATCTGGTATTTTATTGAGCAATGCTGCGAAAAACAATGTCTTGTAATCAGCCTTGTTTTGACTGCCAACGATAAAATTGTTGGTGTCCAAGGCGACGGAACTCATATATTTTGGCGGTACCGGCTCTTGACAGTAGGTGTCGATTTATCGTATTGGATTTTAATTCGTGCTCGTCTTTTTCAGAGTGAACCTTCGTCTCCGCAAGAGCAGCAGATCAAACGAGCACAGGTGCGTCTGCCCCGATTGTTATTTCTAACACACATTTCCACATGAGTCCTGACCTGCATAATCATTGAAAGGCCACTTTTCTTATCTCATTTCTCTGTTTGAATCCGAACCATGAGAGGTCCCGTTACGAGTAGTTTCAATGTTTTCGGTTCGCCCTCCCCCACGCTGACCAGCCCCGGCCTTCCGTCCATTTCAGACACCGGAGCAGCCGCCGCCACCCGTACCCAGCGTGGGACAGGACAAGGAGATTCTGGTGTTCGACATCGCATTCGACGGATCCGAGCGGTCCGCACTCGGTATGTCAGCGCTGTGGGGTGGGGTGGGACGGGTGTGAATCAGGTTAGGTGGTTAGATTTCTGTTGAGTGATGTGATAGGTTATAGAAGATTCTTCATGGCGCCGAGTTGGAGGACAAGGATATCTTTTTTCTGATCATGTAACTCATTGACGATTTCCTAGCAGTTGCTGACATCAAACGTATCAATGTGTGACAGTTATGCCCTTTCATATTCTAGGTCTGAGCGTTAAGGGCAGGACGACGCCGTCCGAGTCTGGCTCGGTCGACACGGGTATCTACATCAAGAGCGTGCTGCGGGAGGGTGCCGCGTCCCGCGACGGTCGCCTGCAGCGGGACGATCAGCTCATTGACGTCAATAATAACTCGCTGCTCGGCCTGAGCAACGCGCAGGCCATGGAAGCACTGCGCCGCGCCATGAGCCAGGAGGTGGGTGATCGCGTGACGCGTCATGGCTGGCGAGAGAGGGGATGAGGAGCGATGCCGCCCGATTATATGAGGTAAAATGCTGAGTTATTTTGCGACATTGGGAGATATACGTGGCATTGCTGTTCTAGTTATCTAGTTGATGATTAATTTTCATTCCATGGGATTTCGTAATACCCGTCCGTTGGATACCACGTCTGCATGGTGCGCGCATCCTAGCTATGGCACCGATCAATAGCTTGTGCCTGGGATGCGGCCGCGGCCGACCAGTATTTGTCGTTTTTTCCGCCGCGGCGGCCGGCTCCGTCGGCGGCGGGCGGGCGGGCGCCATGAGCCGGTAAGTGGGTCAGCGGTATGTGCAGCTACTGATGGGTGGCGCCGACGGCTGCTCCGCGCAGTGTGTGCGAGCGGAGAGAGCCGCCACCGCCGCCACCCAGCCGACCGACCAACGACAGACAGTATTGGGTGGCAGCGGCGGTGTTATGGGCGGCTAGTGGATGGTCATGAGTTTGGCCGTGGACGTCGGCCGTGGCCATGAACGGCTGCCTCCCGTCGGTGGGGCGCTCCCAGGCTCGCCCGCCGGCCGTGTGGGTAGGACGGCCGGTCAGGAGCGGCGGTTATGGGCGGCTGGTGGCGCACTGGTGCCAGGGCGAGTCATGGCAGCAACGAGTCATGGCCGACGGGCGGGCGGGTGTGTGTATCTTTGTTTGTGGTGGTGAATTTGGAGCCAAAGTTTGCAACTTAGCATCACCGCTAGTGGCTGTTGAGCGGTGTGTGTATGTGGCTGTGAGCGGTGTAATGGGAGTAATCAGTAAGTAGATTGCAGATGCGTAAGAGAAAGTTCTAAGAACTAATTAATATCTGATTAATTCAGTTTAATTATATCATGCCGCCGGAAGGGATAACATTAATAATGATATGGATAATGGATATTCCTATTAGAAAATGGTTAAATAATGTCTTGTTAAGCATTGCAGGAAAACACCAGAAAAAGGCGCCTCTAATTATGTTATTTGCATTCAGGGTTGGCAGGGGGTGGCAAAAACTGGTTTTTGCCAGTGGTTTTAACCGGTTTAAACCGGCTGGCAGAAACCCTGGTGGCAAAAACTGGCAAAAACTGGCAAAAAATCAGATGGCCAAACCTACAACTTTTCTAGTTAGGAATGGATTTGAAATGTACAGAAATGCATTTAATGCATTTCTGGTAGTTATATAGATGCACTTAACATTCTGAAGTTGCCTCATTACTTATCCCTGCTTAAAATGTCTATGCAATTATGCATGTCGGTAGACATCCACAACGGAATGTATTTCCATGTAAGGGGAGAGTGGGACAAGGCGGCCTCGGTAAGTAGGGTGTCATGCGGTGCCGTGCGCATATCAATGGCAGATGCCTCTTCGCACTTCTGATTGTGCAGGACTCACCCAGTCACCCTTGCATTGGCTCATTTATTACCCCCAAAAGACATCTTAATAGCTCCTTATGGATAGCCCATGAAAATGTTTCTGAGTTAGGTATGAAACATTTCAATGGTCAATGTCACTTCTGTTTGAAAGCATAAAGCTTTCACCGAATTCTCCTTAAAATGTTTCCTGTTCAAAATCATGTCTAGGCATAGCATTGTGATATTCTGAGTTTTTGCCAGTTTTTGCCACTTTTTGCCGGTTAAAACCGGTTTAAACCGGCAAATGGCATAAACTAGTTTTTGCCGGCAAAAATGCCAACCCTGTTTGCATTGATACCATACGCGCGTGTTTCACACATGTCTGCTGAGCGAAGATCGGGTGGGTCATCCTGCCGTAAGGTTTTTACGGGTGTCCAAAAGACCATGCTGGTAACCGTATGTCTCGGTTTCACAACAGGGTTCCAAGCCGGGCATCCTGACGCTAACGGTGGCTCGGCGGCGGGCGCCGTCTCCCGGCTCTGGAGGCCAGGACCCGGTCACCGGCCGGTCGGCCGTCTCCACTGCCGGACAGCTCCAGCTACCAGGTGAGCCGGTCAAAGCATTCTGGTGCTTAGAAATTGTTGATCTAATGTGGTGGTTGTCGGAACAGAACACTCGGTAATTGTAGTGCTGATTTTTTTTTTATCCCTTTGAATTGAAATCTTATCAGCTGGGTAGGATAGCAATCATTCATTACCGACATTGACTTTTATGAAAACGGTCTCTAGATAAAAAAATCATCAAGTCCAGGAATTGATTCCGTGATTTTTTCAATCAGTGGACTTGGTTGATCGTAGCTGCTTCACCGCCGATACCTGAGCCTCATGACCTCTCGCTACCCCTCAGGTGACGGCGCGGCGCCGTGGCGGACCGAGCAGCTGGATCTGACCTCGGCCGGTCCATCCGAGGTGACCATCACCCACCGGCGGGCGCCGCCCTCGGTCGAGCCGCCGCCGGCCGGCAGGAACCCCGTGGTAGACCGGCTCACCGGGCGGAACAACATCGTCGGAGAGGCGGCTTATGGCGCGGTGAGTGGGTGGGGACGGGTCGGCTGTATACGGTAATAAATAAGTGGATCGTGTTGTGGCTCTTGCTTGGCTTATGAGCTGCAACTGGTCGGATCATTCCGCAGAGTAGCAGACGTTGTAATCCGATTGTGTGATAGCCAAAGAGTTAGGTCTTAATTTCATCATTCCATTTCATTTATAACGGGCCTTTCAACAAATTGGGTATTTCAGCTCCTGGCACAACACACGCGTCGCTGATGCAATATTGCATGCGAGATCAGATTATAAAATGATGCCACGCTACCCAGGCGGTTCGACGCTACGTTGTAGTGTTATGTGATATCGACGGTGCATCTGCCACCTAGTGCAGATGAAGCTGGGAACGCTTCGTACAGGTTCGATTACTGTGTCCTTTTTCACACGATGCTTTTACACCCTTGCCTCTTTGACCGTGCCCCTCCCCCACTCAGAGCCGGCCGGAGCCGTGGTCGGACGGGCCCGGCGCGTCCGTGCCCCCTGCTCCGCCGCAGCAGCAGCGGCTGGCGCCGGCCGGCGGCGGTCTGCCCCCCTCGGCCACCTTCTCCCCGACTGTGAACATGCCGTCGGGCGATACAGTGGTGATCGAGACGGACCCGCCGTCGGCCTCGCTGGCCTCGCTCAGCAGTCAGCAGTCGGACGCTGACACTGATGCCGCCTACGCCAGCCAGTGAGTGAACGCGCACTGGTTTGAGGGTAGGGTTGACCTGCAATTGCGTAAGATGTTTAGTGCAGATAAGACGTTCATGATTATTTATGTACTGAGGTACGTCATGTTTCATCATAAGAAAGAATATCTGGCAACATTTTGGTAGTCTGTAAACGAAATAAGAGTCGTGACTCGTGGGGTAAAGATCTTGCGTCGCTAAATCTTAATTTACTGTTAGCTAACTTTCTTCCCCTCATCTGTTTGCTAGGACGTCGCTGGAGCAGGCCGGTGTCGGTTTCACCCGCGACCAGCTGGGTCGGCAGTCCATCAGCGAGAAGCGGCACGCCTCCAAAGACGCCAAGAGCACGGACACCTACCAGCGCACGAAGCGGGCGCGGGAGGAGCGCGAGGCGCAGCGGCGGCAGATCGAGGCGGAGCTGCGACTGCAGGAGGCGGAGCAGCGGGCGAGGCCGACAGGTCAGTGGTGGCGCGGGCCGGGGTTGCTGCTAGGAGAATACCGGCAGCTTTATTGCGAGCTTGTCCCGAGGCTAGGCTGAGTGGGTGGGGATAGAGTGCGAGGAATCGGAGACAAGAAGATGCTATGCTTGTTTGTAACATACATAACCGCTTCTTGTAGTAATGATTGTGACTAACTTTGTTGTGCAATTATCTAACATGTGACTGTATTTCGTGTGCCTCTAACAAAGCATCCCATCGGCCATCGGCTCAAACCGCTGTAACTGATCATGGATCAACATGCCTATCGCGTGGCCGCGCTTCATGCTGTCCTACGTCCGCTACATAACGCTTTCCGATCGTTGTCATTGTGTCATTGTCCTCTCACCTCTGTATGTATGTGCGTGCCGCTCCTCAAATGTGCGTGTCGGGCTGCGGAGTTTGCGTGTTATGGTGTGCGCCGCTGTTGGCCCGTCCTGTGAGCGTACCGGTGATTCCGGCAGGCGTGGCCGCCGAGGCCGGCCGTAGCGCCTCGCACCACTCGCTGGCTCAGACCGACGATGAGGGGCCGATGCGTACGTATGCGTGCATGTGCGGTGACGGTTTTGGCTGCCCGTTGTTGGACGGTCGGTGGCGGGGGATTCATGTGTTTGGTGCAGGGCACATCTTACAGGGAACAAGATTTGAAGTCGACTGATCCGCTGCTACCTACTTATTTATAGAGCTTGGCTTAGCTGGCCTGCTTTGTTGTATTATATGACAAGGTTTGGGTTGTTACATGTTCACGATCAGCTGCGGTTTCTCGCTACGTTTTTGTGCACATTTCCCTGGAATCGTTGTGGAAGAAAATATTCATGAAACTCCTATGGCATGTGTATGTCCGTTTGCCTGTCCTGTCTAGACTTCCCCTCACTCATGATATCAGCAGACGCATTATCTGCTCCGAATTGCCTGCTTCGACCTGCATCGATTTCTGAGCACTCATTTAGCAAGCATTCCTAGCACGCGTGCACAAGCTGCCTGAAACGACAATGCGCTTTGCATTTGCACCTCACCCCTTCCCACCCCACCCCACCCCACGCCACTCTTCAGATTAAGTTTTCTACCGAATGTTAATGCAGTAAATAATCCCCTTTCTGTTTCCGCCGTTACCCGCGCGTCCCCATCAGGCGGGGTTGGGGAGGGGCAGCCATCGTTATTCGGGGATTGACTAGCGGGAGGGTGGGGGAGGCTCGCGTGCCGCCACTGCCGAGGCCATTGTGGCTCCGTCACGCTCTCTTGTTGGACCGACGGCCGGGACTGGCAGCGGTGTGCGGCACGCCTCAGTCGGTCCTGTGCGTGTCCCCGTGTCCTGTGCCGTTCGGTCTAGTGCGTCGCGGTGCTGGGTGGCCTGAAGGCTACTCACAGACTGGGCGGAAACATTGCAAGACTAGGCACTACTTACGACAATGCATTCGGAGATATGCAGGCAATTCGGAGATACGACTGTGAAGTATCTTTACCTTAGTAAATAGTGAGTCTGAAAAGATGCGTTGGCGAGGAGTCGGCCGCGGTCGCCGTCTCCCGCCCCCGTCGGCACCCGTCTGCCGCTGCAGCGCCTGCCAGGCGTGTCGTGTGACGTTCGCCGACCTCTCCCCCCGCCCGGCAGGCGACGTCGGCCCCAGTCTGGGCATGAAGAAGTCCTCCAGCCTCGAGTCGCTCCAGACCATGGTGCATGAGGTGAGTTGGATGAGGGGCTGGCGAGGTGGTGAAATGTGTGAGTGACTGCTAGTTAGTTACCGTTGACCGACATGTTGATTTCTTGCTGTGGGTGGCTTTGACGTTTTTCATTTGGCTCCGTGTATCACTTTTCGGTAGTGGTTACTGGTTGTTATCGTGTATGATTTCAATATCTCGTAGTACTGGGCTTCTGTAGACTTCTATAGCTCTGTATGCAGAGGCCTATGCTCGTAGTCATGCTTATAAGAGTATTTGAATGTACTCGCCCAGCAGCCACAGTTCTACCATCGATCTAACCCCCTGCTCTCTCCCCGCCGCACAGCTGGCACTCTCTGAGGAGCGGGACCGGCCGTACCCGCGTCCCGGTAACGCCAAGGTGGTGCGTGGCCGCGGCTGTAACGAGAGTTTCCGCGCGGCCGTGGACCGCAGCTACGAGGCGCCGCTCGGGGACGAGGCCGCCGCGCAGCGCACCGCCATGGATACCGGTCAGTGGCGGTCTGACGAGCGAGGGAAGGGAAGAAGAGATCAATTGGTTATGGAGCTGTGGATTGTGCTTTCTACAGTTGTGTATAAACTTATATTCCATGTTTTACCAGAAGTCCTGTTTTTATAGGCATTATTGTAAATGCTAGTTTTTGCTCAATTTTGATTCCACGTTTTACTAGAAAGTCTGTTTTCACGCAGTTGTAAATGCTGCTTTTTGTTCCATGACTGCGACCTTGTGATGATTCAGTCGGCCATTTCCTTTTTCTCGCGTTGTCTGCATTGTCTCCCTTTTTTCCTAGCAAATTCTTCACTTTCAAGCGATATAGAGCAAATATGTTAAAGAGTGTTTTCTTATCTTGACTACGATCTTCTCTTCTTCATTTCCGTCTCTTAGTGTCCACCCCTCACGCTCACCACCTGTAACTGACTCCCACCTCTCTGCGCCTCCTGCAGTGGACGAGGAGGCGGCCGCCGCCGACGCTGACGACGCGCTCTTCATCCGAGACCGGACCGTGCGACAGAGCTCACTCAGCACGGGCGCAGTCGACGGCAAAAAGGGCAAACGGAGATCGGGCGGACTGCTCAAGGGGCTGGGTAGCATGTTCAGGTGAGTCGGCTGGAGACACTGGCGTAGCTGCTGGCAATAAGGCGGGCCACGTTGGAAAGTCCGCTGATTGATAGTGAATTACGATGGAAGTGTGAGTTTCCATGCTGCTGCCATGCACCCGCTAAGACCTTGTTCTTGTTCAACCGAGCTGACGTGCACCTACAAGTATCATGTCAGATTCTAGGCAGTTGGTTTAAGCTTCAGCCTGTATGCTCTCCTTTGGGTTGTTGCTTAAACAGTTTCTATGCGCGCGATGGCATGACGTATCTGACCCACCTTGCGCCCATCCCTCAGGTTCGGTAAGCACCGTAAGGCGGCGGACGGCGGTGCGCCGGCAGCGCCCGCTCCTCGTCTGACCGCCGAGCAGCTGAGGCAGCAGCAGGAGGAACTCAACAGGATCGCGGCACGCTACCGACCGGACGGCGCGGCAGCTTCGGCAGGGCTGGGAGGCGAGTCTCGACACGGCGCGGCGCCGGCGCAGCGGGAGCGACAGGAGAGGCAGGAACGGCAGGAGCAGGGTCAACAGTCGCAGAGGCACGGCCAGCCGCCGCCGCAGCAGCACAGACAGGTATGGAGGCTGGCAGGAGATACTATGAAAACGGGGCTCGGTAAAGGATGGTGCACACTCCTGCCCTTTGTGTTTGCCCCCCGGGACTGACCTCTGTGTTTCGCTCCGCTTTCAGAGCCCGCCGGCTGTCGTCGGTCCGCCGCCGCCGGCCCGCTCGGCCAGCCGCTCGGAGCGTGTTCAGGAGCTGCGTGAGCAGCATCAGCGGCGGCACCGCGAGCGGCAGCCGCCGGCCGGTCACCGCGCCGACACGCCCGAGCACCAGCTCAGCGAGGTAGGCCGATCACGGCGTGAGGCGAGCGCAGGAGGGGAGAAGGGTAGAAACGGGTCGGGTAAGGAGAATGTCCCGGCGGAGTGTAGTTTTTTGATTGTAAATGCGAATTGCGATATACGGTAAACATCAGCCATTCATGGGTTGTTCATGATATGGCATACAGCTGAAGCTTAGCTTAATTCATGACTGGTGGTGGTATGATTAAACCAATAACAACATATATAAATGTACATATAAAACATTTGACACCAGCTGCTGCAGCTCCGATAGATAATCTCATGATATCGGCCACAGACAGTGACATAACAGTTTACCCTTTAGCTCGGCTTGTAGCTATCAGTCGCATACCCCGGGTGTAGTTAGAGCCGCGCCTCACGGTTCGGCTATCTGCGCCGCCGCCGGAGCTGACGGTTGGGCGCCCACAGGCCGGCGAGCTGAAGCCCCAGGTGCCGCCGCTGCCCTCCCACCTGGTCAGTGACCGGCTCAACAACAACGTGCACCGCGAGCCCTCCCCCGGCCCGGCCGGCCCCGGCGGCTTCTGGCGCGCGGGACCGCTGGCGGCGCGCGGCGGCCGCAGCAGCGAGTATTTCCGCAACCAGCGGCCGGCGCCGCTCTCGGCGGAGCGCGCCGCTCTCTGGGTTAGTGAGCATGTGCGGCGGAGAGACCCGAGCGGCACGGCCGGCGCAGCAGCACGCTTGGCCCGGCCGCGGTCTGCCTGCATGCCGGCGGAGGCGAGCCTGGTCGCCACTAACACTCAGCACGCGCGGAGGGCGCTGGTGTCCGCTCCACTAACTCAGCACGCCCGGCGCTGGACGTGTGTGTATGACGTGTGTGTCACAGGTCACAGACGCACGCCACCGCACTCTGCGCTCGATTCTGTCTCGGTCTTGGTTGGTCCAATCTCGGTCGGTTTTCTGTCACCGTCTATAGTTCCTGGTTCGGCGGCAGCTCCATATCTGTGGAGTGTGGAGTCTGGCCACTGAGTCGGCTGGACAGTTTGTCTTGGCTGGTTGTCGGCACGCTCGCGTTTTGTCTCTACTCTGTCTGCCTGCCCAGGCCCTGTGGATCCCCTCTGAAGCATGGCATACAGCTGTGAAGGCTGCATGTACCGGAGGCTCTGGCCTCCAAGCCCAGCGGCATATTGCACCATTTGTGTGTTAAATGTTCGCAAACCGACCGGCTGTTGCTCAAACTTTTGATTGTCGTTCTTCGTGTTTTGATCGAACTGAACTGCACATAATTTATGCCTGGTTTTGTAACTAGCACTGATTGTATGTTGTGCACGTACGTATGTTTGGCATGCGTGGCATCTATTCTGTTCATTTACCTAGGTTGACAACGTCTTTCATTTTGATGTTGAAATCTGTCATCAACTGCATAATCATTTCTATCCCAGACTCAATGAAAAAGCATAAACTGCAGTGTGCAGCAATGCAGTGAGTGTGACCACAACGCTGTGCACCAGCCTCCCTGTCTATTGATGTGCAATCTACATGAAATCTACTGTTGTTTTGTAGGCCTATTACCGCATGTTTCTCTACACCATTCCCGTGACTAAGCCTCAATCGTCAGCCCTACTTATCCAGCGAGATTCGGTGCCCTGGAATCGTCTTTATCATCGCTCAACATACTGTGTTTTGCGTGAACAGGACACGTCTGGTTCTGCTGGCAGGACGTAGCTGGTAGACCGCCTGTCGTGGCGTCTCGATCAGATAGTTTACGTTGCTGATGTCCGTCTCTTTGCGTCCACAGCAGAAATCTGAGAAGTCAGAACCAGCCCCCGTTCTCCATCTGATTGTGTCTGCGTCTGTCCGTCCACAGCAGAGATATGAGGAGCCAGAACTGGACTTTGTCTTCGTCTGACCGTGTCTGTCACTCTGCATCCACAGCAGAGATCTGAGGAGTCATCTGGGTGGACAGGCCAGCCCTCCAGCTGAACCCGTCTGACCGTATCAGTCCCTGTCCGTCCACAGCAGAGATCTGAGGAGTCAGCCGGGTGGATCGACCAGCCGCCGGACCCGTCCCGTCGGCCGGCCACCCGGACGGGCATGGCCGAGCCGCGGCACACCCAGTACCCCCTGCACGACGAGGGATCACTCTACAGCGCGCGGTGAGTGCTGGACGAGTGGTGGGAGATCAGAGGTGATGGTCAATGTTTGGCGTTCAGTGGAAGCGGTTTAGATATTTGAGTAGATACCTAATTTTGGATGTGCATTTCCTTGGTGGTAGACTATTAAGTCGCATGTTGTTCAGTGTCTAACGTGCAGGATCATGCGTTTGTGATGATGTGTTTGGTGGTGGCTAGGCAAGCTCTGTGTTGACAAAGACGTGTTTTGAAATGCTGCCTAGTGCAAAGCTAGTGTGCATCATACGGTTGCCCTCTGGGGCTTTGTGAAGTTACTGTTTTAACCCTCGCCGGCACAGGCCATTTTGAGTCCTTCGACGGCACAAGGGGGGGGGGTTGGTACGACCCCCCCCCCTCGCGTTTGGCCCCTGATCGAGCTAGAGCTTCGCGGAAAAAACGAGCGTGTTGCCCGTCACGAGAGGAAGCCGATGATACCCAATTTTAAGGTCCTAGGTCATCGGGTGACCTTCCAGGTCAGGTCAATGACCCGAAAACCGGGAAAATCGAGACCTGTTAGAAAGTCGTAAAGTGTGGCTGCTATGTGGTTTTCCGGGGTGCTGATCACGAATATCGTGTTAGTTTTGATCATAGATGATGTCTTTAAGCATTTAGACCAGGTCGGGTCAGGTCAGGTCAGGTCAACCGGTAGGGGCTGTGACGGGTATTCGTAATACGTGTCAACCGCCTCGGACAGCTTCGCAACATGTTACGAAGGCACCAAAACCACTTCGTAAATGTTCAAATGGTTGCTAAATTCGAATTCAGCTCCAAAAACTAGCTTAGAAACATGTAAAACTCGAAAAAGTGAACCGAGGTCACCCGAGGTCACCAAAGGTCAATGACCTGACCTTCAGGTGACCTTGACACCCACCCTAATGCATGAGAGCAACATCAAATCACATGCTTGAACGTTTGAAACCACGAAAAGCTTGCAAACGCGCCGCTAATGCGCGCCGACATGCGCCGAACCGCGATTTCGGCCAAACATGGTCACAGAAAAGAGGTCACAGGTCAAAGGTCATTGGGGTCAGGGTCATGAAATTTTCAGGGTAGGTGTAAAATTGATCAATGCGAGGGTACTGAAGGTTTCGTCGCGATCGGCCGCTTTTTACGCGAGTTATTCGCGAAAAACCTTAGGGGGGGTTGCATCAACCCCCCCCCCCCCGCTGTGCCGGCGAGGGTTAAGTGTGTAAGTGTTGTAGGGTGGTAGGGTGCAACCAGCGTATGATAATCAGTTGTGTGTAATCCAGCTTGTAATGATGAGTGGTGTGTATATCTGCCGTGGCGGCGCGCTGGTTGGTCCAGGCAGCGCCGGTCCTGGGGCAGCTCGGGCCAGCTGCGTGTGAAACACGCCAACGCGCGGGCCAGCCGGCGCAGCTGGGGTCGCCAGTCCGGCACCAGCTACACTCTCCTGCTGGCGCCCCTCCCCCGAAAGGTGACCGGTCACCGTCGGCCGGGGCTTGTCCGCTCCGTGCCGTCCGCAGCTTCCGGCCGTGTGGCTGTCTGTTTTGTCCGGCGTTGTGTTTGGGTTTCGTCCAAGTCTTCGTATGTTGATCCCGGTTATGTGCTGGGTGGTGTCCGGACAAAGCTTTTAGGTTTGTGATTCTCGAGACGCAGAGCGGAATGATCGCTTTAATAGCGGAGTGATATTATTTATCTCTATCTCTCTGATAACCCATTCTCCCGCTCACCAAATGCAGCACAATGAGCCCCGGTTGAGGTGAAGTCCGAGTGTGTGTGGCTGGTTTCTCGGAGGCTGCGGGCTGGAGGTGGAGGTGTTGGTGCGAGGGTGCAGACTCTGGTGAAGGCTGTCTCTCGTCTGTACATATGTTGCGAACTCTACACTTCCCCCTTCCTGAGTCCCCTGGGTTTGGGAGATCTCAACCCTCGGCTCTGCCAATTACTCTCCGACTTCCTTTCTTTCTCTCCTTTTCTTTCGCTCTTTATTTCTCTTTATTTTCCTCACCCCTCCCCCTCCGTTTCTCGCCTCCCTCGCGACTCCAACCTCCTACCCTGATCTCCTCCTCTCCGTCTTCCCTCTCCTCCCCTGACCTACCTACCCGAGCGCCGGGCCTCCCCCACTGGCACACCGCTGGGACACGGCCCCTGCTAATATGTCCTCAGCGCCGGCCGGCCCAAGCGCTGGAGCGACCAGGTACTGCTGGAGCGCCTGGAGAACCAGTTCCAGTACGAGGCGGCCAGGTCGGGTGGCGCCCCGTGCCCCGGGGCCATTGATGGGGCCGCGCCACAGACCGGGACTTACACCGCCTATATTCGGCGTGACACGCGGTTGGTGGCGGCCTGCAGCGGTGACGGTGCATGCGCTGGGTCTGGGTGCGATGGTGGTAGTTGTGGCGGTTTGGTAGTGCCTGCGTAGAGGTGTGATTTTTGTGTCATTTTGTCGGTGCTTTGATGTGACTGTTTGAGAAGGGTGAGTGCTGGCTTAGTTGCATGTGCCAGCATGTTGGTTGTTGCTTAAATTTGTGGTAATTTGTTCATCTAACGTGTGAGGGTTTTTTACGAAAACAGTTTATTGAAATATTTTTTTTCAAAAAGGGCTTGAGGTTTTTTAGTGTTTTACGATATTTCTATTGTAGCTATTAGCCTGGTCGCCTGGAATAGAAACCCTCAGTAGTACGCGACACGCTTCTCATATTGTAGTTGCCGTCGTAGCACGGTGAAATAGCTCTATCACCTCCTGCGCATCCAACAGCTGACCCGCATAAGTTGCATGGCATAGCTTCCGCTTACCCACGATTGAGTGCATCGTGTTACTTGCCTGAGCACGACCTTTCCTGGCCCTGCATGTCAATGCAGATCTGAACATGACTTGGCATCAGCGTGTGCCAGCCTTTGCAGTATAGCTGCGGACGATACCCTCCTGGCTACAGTCCATTGGTTGGTTAAAATCATACTGATTCCTCGCCTTGTGTTGCTGTTTGTGAACCATGGCATGGAAGCCACCACTAACAATCTAACTACTCCAGTCGTGTGTTTGTGTCGTCACCGAGTCCATATCCCCCACTCTGCCGTCTCTCTGTGCGCGGCGTCTGACGTTCGTTCCCCGTCCTCCCGCCAGCCGGCAGCACCAGGTGTACCACTCGCAGCGCAGCGGTCGGCCGCTCGGCCCGGACCCGAAGGCCGGAGACTGGACCGCCGCCGGGTACTTTGAGTACGAGTCCGTGCAGGCCATGATGCGACTGGGCGGCGGCGGCGGCGGCGGCGGCGTGTCGGAACACTACTCGAACCGCTCGCTGCCCCGGCGCCACGAGAGGATGAGGGCCGGGCCGCACCCGGGCTACCCCGCGCCAGGTGAGGGGCGGGCGGCTGCTTTGGGAGGGATGGTGTTGATGCGAGTCTCGGCATGGATTTCATGTATTGGTGTGTCCTAAGATTAACCCGCGCCCTGCTGGGGGTCCTGGATTTCCACGCCCTGCTGGGGGGGGGGGGGGGGTGTTTGAACACCCCCCCTTGTAACTCGGCTCCTGGGCCACGTAGCGATACGCGGAAGGCGGCGTTCGAAAGAGCGTAAAAAATAATGACGAAATCACTTCGGTCAATTTTTTGGTCAGGTCAAAGGTCAGGTCACCAGAGGTCATTGAAGGCAAAATTTCGCCGATTTCCAGGTCGAATGTCGAAAATTTCCAAGAAGCCAACGCATAACTCGGGAACCAATAGAGCTACAGCGCCGCGAAAAAGCGCATTCGGTAGCCCTATTAACGCCCTTTCTGAGTAATTCTCTCAGATTTGACCTAACGTCAACGGTTTTGCCTGCAGGGGGCAAAAACTGCAAAAATAGCCGATTTTTTCGAAAACAGTTTTTCTGCAATAACTTTTGACCCAACCCTTGTACGAGCTTACTTTTACCGGCATCGTGTTCCTCTCGTCAAGACGCATCGAATGAACTATAACTTGACCTTGAAAGGTCAACTTGAAAATTTGACCTCAGGTCAAGGTCATGACCTGACCGGAAAGGGTCATATTGCATATCAGTCGATCCGTATCGTCGAGCTGAACACATCTAAGGCGTTTTCATCGCTCTAGCATGCCTCTATCAAAAGTTATTTGCGAAAAACTGGTAGATACCATTCGTGACCTAAGATGACCTCAGGGCATAAACAAGGGTCACGGACACCATTTTCAAGTTCAGTGTGTCTAAACCACTTGTAATTCGGTGTTTGGGAGTGTTTATAATGTCTTCCATCCAAAAGAGGCGCATTTCAATTTTCTCCCATTGACTTATAATGGGGAGGTCGCAAAATTGACCTGACCTTAGGTCATCGATATCAAAATTCTGAGATATACATTTTGTACATGCTATTGCTCTTAGCAATCGCTGAAAGTTTCAAAGCGATCGGTCACTCGGTGTAGCTATGACAGACATTGAAAGTTTTTATGAGGTGAGGTCACTTCAAGTGACCTGGTGACCTGACCTTGAATGACCTTGGTCTGAAATTTTCACAACATGTGTAGAATTGATGTATGATAAGGTGTACCAAAAACGGCGGCGCTCCGCGCCGCCGTTTTTGAGATATTCGCGAAAAACCACAAGGGGGGGGGGTGTTCAAACACCCCCCCCCCAGCAGGGCGCGGGTTAAAGAATGTGTAGTGAATGAATCTCGTTTTACATGGAATGGAAGGATGAAAAACGAGTTGGAAGGAGAATGATTAGGTTCACGAGTGCCTGTTTGTGTTGCGATTACGTTGCTTGTTGTTTTCCGAATGTGACGCTGTTTGTTGCTTTGTCTGCAGGTCTGAAGCACGCGGTGTCCGCCGGCCCGTCGGGCCCCCGCCGGCCGCCGCACCCGTCCAGTCTGGGCATCCCCACCCTGCCGCCGGGCGTGCTGCCCCAGTACGGCCGAGCCGTGCCGGACGTGCTCCGTCGCGGCCCGCCGCACCGGCCGCCGGCCCTCAGCCCGCCCGGCAGTCGCGTCTGAGTCACACTGACATCTACCGGGCCGCTTCGAAACTGAAGTTCACGCCGCCGCCGCCGCGGACTGTGCGCCACAGGAGTTTTATTCCTGGGCGCGGTATAACTTGTATTGTTTTTCTATGGGTGATGCGTTGACCATGTATTGACTGATGCTCGCGCCTATACTGGACATTCCGAGTCATTCCCTACCGCCCGTCGAAGGCGCCACTGGGGCTGTGGCCGATGTTTTACGCTTGATGTACCAATGTACCGCCTGTATGGCGCGCGCGGCGCCGCCCATTTTCCAATGTATGACCATGTATGTATGGGCGCCGAGCGGCGGTGCGCGCCTGCCTTCGTATCGCCGTGATAGCCAGAGTCTGGCCGACTCAACAATCCGTCCTGCTGGCTGGTGGCGCCGTCTGCGCGTGCGTCGTGACCGGACGCGGCAGTGTCTCCGACGGCGCCGGTCCCAGAAGATTGTGTGGCAGTGTGGGTGCCCGGCAGAGCCCTAGAGCCGCCGGAGACCAGGCCAAAGTATTGTATGGTTATCTACCCGACAGTGAATACTGAATATATTACTACTGTGACATGCGTTCTACAGTGTTTGGTGGTATCTGGGAGAGGGGAGTTTGGACAACACTGACCAGCGTAAAAGGCACCGTTCTGGACTTTATTTCACGACACGCCACTACCTGACGCTATCAGGTATTGACGCTCGGTTCCCATGGAAGCGTCGGCAAAATTCCCAGCTTTTGCTTACGTTTCCAAAGGTATTGGCGCTCGGTATTGGCTGGAAACGTAAGCAAAATTGCCAATTTTTGCCTGCCTTTCCATAGAAATCGAGCGCCAATACCTGTAGGGTCAGGTAGCGTCATGCGCTGAATTAGGGCCATGGATTATGGAATTGTGATTGATATAGCAGATACTACTGGCACGTATGATTTGGGTCGTCTGTTTCGGCTCCGATTATTCCTGGACGTCTATCCGCGGTAGTCCAGGTGGCGGCAGGGAACCAGAACTGCCTGGTCAGGGTCTTACGAGCACGGCCAGAGGCAGGCGGCTGCTTAGTCGTGAGTTTTGCCTTATTATAAGCACTGGTCTCGCGAATATTGTTGTCATTGCAGACACCGAGTATTAGTCAGTGGTTTTGTCGCTAGGTGGCAGCAGCAGTAAGCGCCTGCGTGATAGACTGCACCGGCTAGCTCAGCGAGCGGTCTATGGTCTCTGAGAGCCCGAGCACTGGCGGATCGGGGGGGGGGGGGGGGGGGTGAGTTTACATTCGTCCTACGAAATCGTGCTTCCAGCGCCGACTAGTTGATCGGCACGGGAGAGGACGTCATAGACGGAGGCCGCCCTCGATCATTGGCCAGTGCTTTGTGTGACGTCACTTCCAGGTCAGACAAAATGAGTTTTCCTCCTGGTCAGGCTACAGGTGCAGGTTAGGGAAATCCCGTACGGAACACAGGCGGGTCTACACACATTTGAGGGCCTGTAGATGTGGCCGCAAATTATCTTTATTTTTGCATTCTCTCAGAGCGCCACAACTTAGTGTGCTGGCAAAATCATTCCCCGCCTCCCAAGTTAGCACTTGGCGTATTCACCGCAATCACACGCTGCAATGATACATATATTTATCCATTATATACTCTCATATTTGTCCGCACATGATATACTCGCTCACGAAGTACAAAACCCAGCCTCCTCCAGTGAGGCGAACCGTGTACAGCCAGCCCTGGAGTATGCTCAAGCCATACGCTAGCATTTGTCATGTGAAACCATCAGCAGGAACTCACTGAGTACTTATTCCAACCATATTCAAACCACCTGCTCAAGCAATCGCACACGTAGAAAACGGAAACTACTCAAGTACAAGGAGCTATGACTGCCTGTAAAACCCTAAACTTAAGCCGCCAGTTAACATGACGACATTATAAAACAGAGAGTCACTGCACATGATACAAAATAATACCCAGGACGCCATCCTGCGCTTCAATAAACAGCCCCATTCGACTACGTTCTCCTGTGAACGGCTACACGCCACCGCTCCAGGTGTACCTAATACGTCGCTCTGTTACTAGTCAGGCCGTCCCAGTCCCGTTCTATATCTGTAACAAGCATCAGCTGGTAGGAAACCAGGCCGCGGCATACTGCGGGTCACACCACCCGTAACTTGCCGATCACTGGGTCAGGTCATTACTCATATCCCAGGCAAGAAACACTGGCACTGTGCGCTCTGCCGTCCTGCCTCTGAGACCCCCCTCCCCCTCCCCGGCCAGCCCTCTCTCTTCATTCTGGTTACACAGTGGGACACTCTGCCTTCAAAAGCCCTTCCCAAACCGGTGGTCACTGCATACTGACCGCCCACTCCAGGTACGAGTCTCTGTCAGCTCTGCCGCCAGTTTGATGACGTCACAGGTCCACTCACGGGCGGCGGATGACGTCACAGGTGCACTCACCGGCGGTCCATCAGCTCCAGCCGCTCGAACTGCTTCCGAGCGTTCCGCAGGTTCATCTTGGTTGACGCCGAAGCTGTCACAAAGGGAGGCAGATAAGAGAGCATACGCCAAGATGTTGATAAGACATCTTAGCGATAAGATAAGCCTTACATATTGATCCTTTGAAAACAAGGAACATAAGTCTTTTGTAAATAAAAAAACAGATTGAGAACAAAGCTGACTAGCAGAAATCATGCTTCACTTGCAGTCAGGAAACAATAAAAGAAAACGAAGAAACAATGATCCACATCAAGCTAAAACAGATTTATTCTACTTAACAACATACAATTAGAACACGCCATCCCTTCGACAATTCAGCAACCGACACTTTATAAGCGCTCCAGAAGACGATCGGGGTGGGGAAGGAAGACAATTACTCGAGTATGATGGTATACATAACTAGAAGACTGTCACCAAGCGCAAGATGGATGGGAGAAGACTGGATTCGGCTACTCACGTATGCTGGTGTCCGAGAGAATCACCATGCAGTAGGTGTTGGCCGTGAACGTCTCGATGAACGCCGAGAAGTTGGAGTTGCGCACCTCCATGCTCTGGCACTGAGCCGCCAGTTTGCTACGGGCGGGAGACACTATTCGTGAACGGGAGAGGGTTGCTGATTTAGGCTACGGCGTGTCAGCCACGACGGCCATTTGCGTGAAAGAGAGAAGAAAGATGGTGATGGATGACACCCTTGTGCGATACCGGTTGTAGAATTCATTGAGACAGTTGACATATCGAGAAGCAATACAAACAAAACGCCATACCATTCAACGCATATTAATGGGATCGAAGAATGCCATCGAGATAGCCGCCTTTGGCCACTGAGTACGAACCTGCAGCTGAGTTTGAACTGTTTGATGATGTTCGAGACCTTCTCGAGTCGGTGCGGGTCCTTGTGGTCCTTCCGCTCGCAGCAGCTGATCACCAGAAAGGTGGCCCTCTCAAACAGCAGCACCTCGTCCGCGTCTGCGGACATACAGAAACGGAGAATTTTAGGCGCGAAGAATCTGAGCATTGACAAGAATTGAGGATTTATGATGTTTGGGCTCATAAAAAAATTGTACACACTACACTGTCATAGATCCATGGCGCATGTGGCACGGCGGTGTCCCATAGGTATTGGGTATGTGACGAAATACAGACCGATACACACACATGAGAAGGATACAACGCATCAGTGTTTGAGGAACACAGACACAGGGTACTTCACGATACCTGTCAGTATCGTCAATGAGGATAAGTAATCAGGTGCACAAGGCTCAGAGATATTCAGCGTTAAAGCCACAAACTCGGGAGGCTAGAACCGTGACTACCGTGTGTCGAGTACCCTTGTATGAACGTGAGACAGGCGTGAGTTATACGCCTGTCAAGCAATTAAGGCCGCTTAACATCTCCGATTCCAGTAGAACACCGGAACTGTTACTCAGGGATCCGACGGGTTGGAAAGTCATAGCGCTTATGCCGCGTCTTGTCGTCACGCTATACGCAGAGACTCTAATTAAACACGTCTCCCTGTGTGATCAGACGCGGTTTGCGGTCGGGGTAAATCACGGTTACTGCCGTGAGTCTGAACGGCACGTAAATCACCGTCACATTTATCCACGGACGGTAACCGCGCTGTGCGCACCGAAGCTACCTATAATCATGATACCTGAGAATCGAATGTGAATACACGACGGACGGGACGGAAGGTCTTATTATGTAACATAACGCCAAATATTAGAGTTGTGGGCTTGCAGTGCCATGTTGCCCCGTTTTGCTATTATCGGGGCATCTTCAGCTGCAAAATGATGTAATGCAACAGGCAACAGCACCTATCTCCATCGCTCATCACCATCTCGTTTGTTAGTTCTTAGGTCCGGAATCCTGCGCGAAGCATGTGTAATGGAATTATGCGATCGTCTTGAGATTACGGCAATGCTCAGATGATATGCGTCATATCATTAGGCTGTCGCCTCCAAACGTTGTCATGTAACGCGTAGTTATATAGAATGCGGCGGATGTCTCACTTTCCACACATACACAGTGACACACAGACGGTGACGATACTTACCAATAATGTCGGCAAACTGCTTCAGACACGACTCCAGCATCCGAACGTTGGGAATCAGTCGGTAGACAATGCTGGACCACGCCTGTTGGAGTCGACAGCGTGGAGAATCACATACACACGCCCTGCATAGCAATAGCAAATGTTGACACTGATTTTGATTTATCGATTTTTTTACCAAACGAGCAGTGAACGAAACTGCACAATCCTCTAAGGGGCTGATGCGAGAGTATGTGAAATGCCATGGAGTGGACTGAGCATTATGTACGCGTTGGTGTCTAGTGTCTACTGTCTATAATGACGTTTGCCTTATTCACTACATGGTCTAAGGTTAAATGTACTGATCATGACGAAAGGACACTAAACCGGTCGTTGTCATCTCACGACAGTATCTGCGCAGGCAGCTCACCTTGTAGAGTGTCTCGTCCCAGATGGACGTCTTGAAGCATGTGATGTCGAGCGGCTTACTGCGCACGCGCAGCTCCTTCTCCCTCTCCCGGAACACCTGAGCGGGGCGGGACGGGCGGAGGAACTCAGTGACACGCTGCTAGCTGTACGGAGCGGGGCGTAAAGGAGTATAGGCTAGTATTTCACTCAATGATAACGGTTTTATAAATACGCGTCGAATATCTGCTGCCACGTTACTTTGTAGGCCACAAAAGGTTTATTTTACACAACACCTATGTAAAACACATGGGATAATTTATAGGTGTTCCAGACCGCAAATTTGGTGATAATATTATGTCCATTGCAAATTAAAAGAGACAGCAATTAAATCGCACGAGTCCATTTAAAAAAGGCAGGGCCTATTTGTACAACTTCCCCTCTCTTAAGCAGCTTTTAGTACACCCTCCTGCCGGCAGGACTACAACCCCGCCAACTTCGCAGCAGCATACTCCGACCCACCTCCTCCCGCGAGTCCTCGCGCAGCAGGTCCATCTTGTGGATGAGACAGAACACCTTGGCGTCTCGCGAGTTCTCCAGCAGCGCCTCCAGACACGACTGGTAGTAGTGCAGGTCCTTGTCCAGCTCACGGGACTCGATATCGAACACGTAGATGAGCACCTCGACGTTACGGAAGATGCTGTCCCGCTGGCTGGCGAAGTAGTTCTCCATGAAGGCCTCCTGGCCTCCACAGTCCCACAGGTTCAACATCAGGTTGCCCAGGAACCGCACGTGGCAGTGCTCGACGTCGACTGAAGGCGGTAACGTGAGGGGAGGGGTGGGACGTGAGGTATCGGGGGAATTTGAAAAGTTACGGTATACTGTGTACATTATGAATCATGGATACGAGTAGCGAGATGTTGAGTGAGATAAATACATCGATTTCGAAACAAGAGCGACGTAGACGCGACTAATTTTAAGAGCACAAAGGTAAGCAATGCTAGGCAAACGTTCCCGTGACTGCACACGCGGGTGAGAGACGTACTAGTGGCACCGAGCCGCCTGGTGTCGCGGGCAATGTAGTTCGCGAAGATGATGGAGCGCATGCTAGTCTTCCCTGAGCCGCTCTTGCCCATCAGCAGTACCTGAGGAGACCAGGTCATGTGAAATGTTGCATCATTTGATATAAACTACCCTAATTCAATATATCCTGTAAACTACAGCATCACAGATTCATGCATAATAAATAAAACAACAAACTAGGGACATCAAACTTTATTATGAGTTGAATCAGTATTCAAAAACAAGACAGGTTTCACATGAATACTAAATCCAAAAATAAGATACCATGCACTATGCTCTTTTTCAATCATGCATGCATGTAAAAAAATGTGCCCCTGAACAGTGCGATGTAAATAACTGAATGAAAGTTGGGTGATAACATAGGTAGGTACCTACTACCTACATTAGAAGGACCAAAAACACTTATTATCAATATGACATCCATCATGGACATACCTTCTTTTTCAATGTTCCACTCATGATGGCCTTACAAAGAGATGAAAAGTAAGGACCTTCAGAACCTGAAACAAAAGGAATGTTACCTACTCTGAAACTGCACAGATATGCATAGTCATTATCTTATGATGGTGGTAACTGGTAACTGATAACTCTTAGGTCACATTACCTTAGCTAACACACAACAAATGTGTGAATCAATATTTAGGTGGGCATATGATGTTACTATACAGTATACTGTCTAGTCAAAATAGAGCACACAAGTTTGATGGAAGTGGGACCTCCAATCCCCAGTGCTTTTTACATCCTCATTACTGTAACAGAAGGGAAGAAATGATGACAAAACATAACCAAACCTAAGCTGAAGCCAACACATAATAGCCTTGCTGGTGAAAATTGCCTTTAGAAGAGACTTGTAATTTGATAACAACGAAGCCATATGGTCAGGAGCAATAAATCAACCTGGAAAATTCTTGTAACAGTCACTTACCTCCAAAAATATGCTAACTTCCCCCCAAATTGTACAAAAAAAAGAGCCAATACTCGAGTCTGGCAGCACTGATGCTGAGATTGTGAAACAAGCAGTACAGTGGATTATAACTTCTTAGTATTTTCATTTTAACAGTAACTTAAAAAAACTAACATAACCTAACCTTATATTAGCCTAACCTGAACCACCAACCAACCCATTACCCAAGTTACCCAACCCAGCCTAACATAACCTTATCTGACCTAGCAAAACCTAACACAAAACATAAAATGAAATGTTGGTAGGACTCTAGTGTCGCACTCTCACCTGGTTCTCTCACCTGGTAGGGTTCTCCTTGCCTAGCAGCCATAAGGATATGGTAGTAGACATGATGGGAACCCATGATCAAAGGACACGCCAGTTCACCAACAAACATTGCCCGTCGTCTGTCGCTGTGGTTTAACTGGATTTGATGTGTCCACTGGTAACATGTCTGTGTAGAACAATCACTGATTTCCTGATAATAAATGCTTTTAACAAGTCATTGAAGTGAGTTGAGTGAGTTGGAACTCACTCAGCAAACTTGTACAGGTCATCATGTATCGCTCGAGACAATGCAGTTTTGAAGGTGCTCAGGCTTCCTGCGGCTACTACATTATCAGGCAGTCCGTTCCAGAGGGCTACGCTTCTGTGTGAAAAACATCGCTTGCGCACATCTGAGACCGCTCGTGTTACATGGATTTTGAAGCGATGCCCTCTAGTGCCACTATGAGGAGGCCGAGTGAACATATCCTCAGGCTTAATACAGCTAAGATCATGGAATATTTTCCAATATTGGATTAGATCAGCTCTCAAGAGCCTACCTTGCACTGAGTACAAGTTCAGTTCACTCAGCCTCTCTCCATAGGACAATCCCTCGAGACCTCTGATATTCCTAGTCCACATGCGCTGTACCCGTTCAAGTTTCCTGAGATCATCTTTGTACCCGGTGTTCCATAAACATGACGCATATTCTATCAACGGTCTGACATGTGTTGTAAGCAAAAACATCATAAATTCAGGTGTTCGGCACACAGTTGACTTTAAGAAGCTCTGACAAAGTCCAAATGCTTTGTGCGAAACAGAAGATACATGTTCATGAAATTTGAGCCTGTCGTCTACCAGCAAGCCTAGGTCGCCATGAGCCTTGCGGGTCGGTAAAGGGCTGCCATCCAAAAAGTACTCTGGAGGAGCCTGCTCTCTAGAATTACGAGTGAAGCGCAACACAGCACATTTGTCTCTGTTTAAAGTCAACCCCCAAGACTCGGATGTACGGTGCAGTGTGCAAATATCTGTTTGAATGGATTGAGCAGCACCAGGACAAGCATCTGACATAGGTGGATTAACACATGCATATAGCTTCAAGTCATCAGCGAAGATCTTATAACTAGAAGTTAAATTCGAGCCGATATGGTTTATATATATAAGAAATAACAATGGACCAAGCACAGAACCTTGAGGGACCCCGCTTTCAACTGGTCTGTAGCTACTGAGCTGACCTTTTACAGCAACCTGCATTTCCCATGCAACTGCCATGCAACAGCTGACTGCGCCAATATGTAAACAATCTATGTGCCAAGCTTGTTGGCAGTGTGGGTGCTAGTGTCTTGTGAATTATTTAAAAACACTGTAAGTATTCAGGTAAAAAGCATAACTTGGTGATATTTTTGTGTTGCACCATCATGCAACAGCTAACTGGGTAGAAACCATACAATACCATACCAAAATGTATTCAAGAATTGTGTAGGCCACTTGGCCTGATGGTCCCATTCTCATCAAGCAGTGAGTCAGAGTGGATCAATCAGGATTCCAATTCAGGAATTACAATTAGGCATTGGATGCCATCCCAGGGGGCATATTCTAAGAATTCCTCCACTTCTTAGGTAGGATAAAGGTGCATGCATATTGCATTATCATAAAATTGTAATTCATAACCAACAGGTAAACTTTTTTGTCTACAATTGTTTTTAAAGTTGCATTGCCATTGGTGAAAATATTTCCATGAAAAAGTTAAATGACCAATATTGATATACCAACTTTGTTCCTTGAGTACTAGTGTCATTTGGTGTGATGCAAAAAAATGCTGTTAATATTCAAGTATTGACACTTTTCAAGGCTAAAATAGTGTATCATTTCCTTCATGTTCATATTTTACTAATTCCTTCACTTCTTGCATAAAATAAAGATGCTGGCATAATCATACAATTTTAATCCTTTTGTTTAAATTGACCATCCCACCTTCACATTAGTTTTGAGTTGAGATAGCCAAAATGGGGTCCCTGGCTTTCACTTACCGGTTTCAGCACTCACAAGATCGAGAAATGCCTCAAATCAAAAATATCTTATTTCAAAGTTGCAGCACTTGGATTCAGAGGGGCTAATGCATTAGAATGCCCCCTCTGAATGTGACATCAGTGCAGATCTAACGATTTTAAGCCTTTTACTAAAACGTTTGGTAGCAGGTGGTGGTATAAGCTAGGTACTTTGCGAGCAACAAGTGCTGCACTCTCAAATAAAGCTGCTAGGGACAGCGGAGATCCCAAAAAGTAAACAAAAGTAAAAGTCTAATATGTTGAAAACCGATGAATATTTTTGATGAAATTCGGTAAATATTTGTTTTCATTCTTTCTGAACCCCAACCCAGCGACATCACTTTCATGCCCATTCATTAACTTTTTGAAGGTGGGAGGTATTTATAGTCACCGTGGTGGGAGGGTTCCTTTAATATTGTTTTTAAGTTGCATTGCAATTGGTGAAAAGACTTCCGTGAAAAAGTTCAATGACTTTACTTGGAACCTAATCACTTAACATATCGGTAATAACAACATCACCAAATCACACTGAAGCCAGAAATAACATTAATTTTAAAAAAAACGTACCAGTACCGTCCCTTCAAATGCCACAAGTTCGAAGCTCAGGAAATGGCATCTAGCTTTTTATGGCCGTACTTCTCTAGCACTTCAATGATAAAGAAGAACCACAGAAGAACCCTCAAGAAATAAAAAGGCCACAGTCCTGTTCGGTTTCACGAATAAGCGCTCGTCTATGCCGATGTTACCATAGCAACAAATATGAGTCAATGCCCTCGTTTCTAAATATTTTGAACATAGTCCATGACTCTCCCCTTCAATATTTTACGGAGTATGGCAAAATTTAAACAATTCTTGAATAATAGTAGCTAAAAATTGCAAGCAGCCTGGAATTGGTGGTGCAAAGGATAAAAAGAGCATGACATCAGGTGAAAGACTGTGCAGTTTACAGTGCTATCGAACAGCTAGTGCTCACTATTTTTGTCGAACCTGCGTAGTATTTGTACAATAAATGTCATCGTCAGTCAATCTGGCATCAGCTTTAGATTCGCAAATGCATTTTTATCGAATGCTGCCGCCGAGATTTCTGTTGAAATATTTGCCCTCGCTCAGCAAACGCCTAGATTTCGGCAGCAGTCGACTGTGAGCTTTGCGATATGGGCGCCAGGGTCAGCAGGGAGTCAGGGACAGCTGCCCATGGACAGCAGAGCGTCAGAGACAGACCTGTCGAGGACCTAGTGATGCGCTAAGAACCTCATGAGGCGCCAGGGACGGTAGGACGCTATAGCGGCTACGGACATGAGTGCTAACGACTAGAGATCAGGGTCGCCAGATCAGTGGCAGATCCAGGGGGCATGGCCCCCCTTGGGCCTCCCGGGGGGCACCATGGATCATTTTTTATCACGGATATCACGGATATCACGGATATTTTTTTAAATTCATCACGGAGGTCACCGACGGGAGCTTCAACCCGGAGGTCTCCAAAGAGGGCACCATCCAGAAGGTTAATCGGAATAGGGTACCGTTTTCGGGGTCTCCCGGAGGCCCATTTCTGTCCCTCGCCTCGGGTGGGGCTATTTCCAGGGGTCCGCGGGGACACCATCTCGAAGTCTCCGGGGGCACCCCAGGTTCTCCGTGGGCACCATCCCAAGGTCGGAGGGGGCACCATCTCGAGGGTCCGGGGGCACCATCCTGAGGGTCTGGGGCACCATCCTGAGGGTCCGGGGGCACCATCCCGAGGTCTCCAGTGGCACCATCGCGAGGTCTGGGGGCACCATCCCGAGGTCACCGGTGGCACCATCGCGAGGTCTGGGGGCACCATCCCGAGGGCTGAGGGCAGAGGTGCACCATTCCGAAGTCTCCGGGGCACCATCCCGAACTCTGTCTCCGGGGGCACTATTCCAAGTTTTCAGGGGCACCATTCCGAAATCCGAGGTCTGAAGGAGCACGCTCCCCGGGTCTCAGGGGCACCATCCCGAAAAGTAAGTGGCCGAAATCCGTGGCTTTTTAGAGGGGGGGGGGGGGCACCAAATGCCAGGGGGCACCATAATTACGTATGCCCCTTCCCCTTGACGAAATCCTGGATCCGCCACTGCGCCAGATCGGCAGAAAGGCATTAGGGCCATCAAAATCGTAGGACGCTAGGACGCACTAGGACGCTCGGGACCAGTGGGACGTTTGGGAGTTGGGACGGCCAGAACGACACTTAGGACCAATTGGCAGTGAGACGCTTGGGACGGCTAGACTAGAAGGATACTTTAAGTCTAAACCAGTAGGACACTAGCGACCCGCAGGACGCTTACAAGTTACAACTAACATGACATTTGTGACCGGTAGACATACGAGGCTCGGGACGTAGACATGTGGCCTAGGGCGTTTGGGAACAGAAAGATTGGACCATAAGGGAGATTGATGCCAGTGAGACGTTAGGACTCATCAGGGTACGCGGGACCAACAGACCAAGGGCACTCGGGACCAGGAAGTCCTTGGGCGCCAGCCGCTATGGACCAGCAGGTCTTTGGGCGATCGGGACCAGAAGGTAATAGGGCGCTCGGGACCAGTAGGTCCTCGGGCGCTCAGGACCAGAAGGCCCTAGGGCGCTCGAGACCAGCAGGGCCTATAGGGCGCTCGGGACCAGCAGTTCCCAGGGCGCTCGGGACCAACAGGTCCTAGGGTGCTCGGGACCAGCAGGTCCTTGGGCGATCGGGACCAGCAGGTAATAGGGCGTTTGAGACCAGTAGGTCCTAGGGCGCTCGGAACCAGCAGGCCAAGGGCACTCGGGGCCAGCAGCTCCTAGGGCGCTCGGGACCAGCAGCTCCTAGGGCGCTCGGGACCAGCAGGTCCTAGGGCGCCCGGAACCAGCAGATCCTTGGGCGCTCGTGACCAGCAGGCCAAAGGCGCTCGGGGCCAGCAGCTCCTAGGGCGCTCGGGACCAGAAGGTCCGAGGGCGCTCGGAACCAACAGGTCCTTGGTCGCTCGGGACCAGCAGGTCCTAGTGCGCTCGGGACCGGCAGCCAGCAGGTCCTAAGGCGCTCGGGACCAGCAGGTCCTAGAGCGCTCGGGACCAGCAGGTCCTAGAGCGCTCGGGACCAGCAGGTCCTAGAGCGCTCGGGACCAGCAGGTCCTAGAGCGCTCGGGACCAGCAGGTCCTAGAGCGCTCGGGACGACCAGCAGGTCCTAGTGCTCGGGACCAGCAGCTCCTAGAGCGCTCGGGACCAGCCTAGGCCGAGGGCGCTCGAGAGTGAGAATCAGCAGGCAGCCAGGGGCCAGAGCAAAGCCATTGCGCCTCACATGTAATTTTCGTGTCCCTTCGGCTCTGGTCAAGGCTCTGGCCCTGGCTGACAGGCGTATTTACAAATTGCAACCGAGCTCCGCCGTGGGGTAAGGTGGGCAGGGGTTTTCGCACTACGGCTGCGGGGTTGAACTACCGTCTGTGGTAGAGAGTTCAGGACGATGGCGCGTTTCATACGAAATCTGGCGCAATGTTTGTTTGCTTTTGAACTTGTACTGTTATTGCTGTGAATTCTTGAAGTCAGTTGGTGACATACCAGGGAAATAAGCTAAAATTAGAGCGCTCTATTTATTGCTCCTGCCCCATGTTGAAGAGATACCCCTAAAAGCGTGATCTTTTATCGGCCCTTACGCAGCAAGGCAGTAATTCTCAGACCGGTGGATGGTATCAATAGAAAGAGAATGCGTCAAAGATTAACATGAATTAATTAACATAACATTAAAATGTTAATTAAGCGTGGAAATTAGTCCCAAACATAAGCTAATTATTGCTCCTACCTCGGCGACGGCGCTCCCCGCAGTCGGCGGAGAAGCTAAAATAAAAGCCACCATCCTCCTCCGTAAGTCAATTTTAGAGCGGCCGAGTGGGCCGATGCGGGGCCACCAAACTGAGGTGAGACGTGGCTAGTAATTGCAAACCGCCATAGAAATCAATATCTTAAGACGTACAATATGGGATGATTACTCTGAAGCTGGAGTGAAAGCATGAGTAGATTGCAAGAAACGAAATGCATAGATTGGTTGAATTATGTACAATAGGCACAGCTCAGATAAAGCCATTTCTATGATGTTGACATATGACATAACCCTTCCTCTCCTCACCTATGACCTAACTCCTAAGTGCATTGGCACAAGGCCCTATATACCCATTGGCAGTTACCGGCATAGTTTTTGAGCACGAGTGTAATTCGCCATCGGACCGCAATACATGTTGCCAGGGTGCTGCACTGCAATTACAACGAACATACGAATACTGCCTTCATTTGTAGGCGTTTGTTTTTTAGGCGGTCTTTGACGTGCAAGGGGGGCGGGGGCATACCTGTCGACAACTTGAGTTTCTCCGAATTTCAAAAACTCCCAGAATTTCAATTCCTTATGCACTGTTGTAGGTACAGCTATGTTCACAAGTTTCCGTTTCCTCCTGTTCTAAAAAGGATGATATTTGTCGATTTCGTGCGTCGCTGATAGGAGGGTGCGTTTAATAATTAGGCCCAACGCTTTCTGCATCCGCGAGTACCTTCAAAAGGGAACAACAGTTTCCATTTATTACACTATGGGACATGTGACAAAATGACCACTGGAACACGCATGAAACGGAGCTCATATTCCTAAAAATGTCTACAATCACTTCTTTTCTGACACTATTAGCAAATACCATCTCAAGTTAGGTGGTTGACAGACAGTCAATGCAGATCTGGGGAGACTGAGTGATGCCAATTCACCACTTAACTGATAATGAGGGCCGAGGGAAGAGAAACATGCAACATGCACAACTGACAACTTGACAAGTGACAAAACACTACCACTATTGCGCAGTGCACAACAAATTACAGCAGCCAGCCCAAAAATGCTTTTGGTGGCTAATTGCAAAACAAGTCACTAATAAATGTCTTAGTTGCAGCTGAACACTGCACAATAATCACACTGTTCACACACTGAGTGAGATGCCACAGGTGGTTTGAATCACACTTTGGTTCAACTGCAAATCTGAAGTGTTGTCATGAGGTTCATGCCTCCATGATCACAGCACTTTGGTTGTGGTTGGCATAACACTTGTAGTCTGCAGAGTTCCACATGAACTGCAGACACCTCATCTGGTGGTCTTCATGTTGCTCAACTTCTTCAGGAGGCAAATGTCGACCACCCAGCGGAAGCATGGTCCTGCAGAAAAGAAAGGTAATGCATAAGGTACAAACATTATCTGCTGAAACAGCTCCTTCTGTTGGCTGTTATTAAACTTTTAACATAGGTAACATAACAACATGTATTCCATGTATATTACATTTGTTGAAGTAAAATACTGCCGGCTATTTCAAAACCAGAAAATGAAATTATATTGAGGCATAATTCACCTGCTCAGCGATCAGTATCAAATAATAATTAATTTAATATTAGGCATATTCTATATAACACATTCATAGAATATTATACTTCACGTTACAAGGACTCACAATCTTTCTGTTGGGTGTTTGATTGACGCATTAACTAAGTTTGTCTTAGGTTTTATTATTGCAAAAAATTCATATTGCATTTTTGTATGAAAATACTGCCAGCAATAACAAAACAAGAACATGAAATGCCAATGAGCAAGCCGCCATTCCTTAAAATGGATTACTTTGAAAGGAATTTTAGTTTCTTTTAAGGAAAAGGAGAAATGATTATCAGGTAATTATCAGAAAACCACTCAACCAGCAAGTGGCTGGGTGGTTTCACAGCAAACATCAAGCCAAAACATATACTTACATCTATCTAACAATTGAGCCATTTGACTACTACAAGGATATGTGAGCAAAATAAGAATCCAATTATCCAATGTTGACTTCCTTGCAAAGTTTATGCCTTATTTTATGAAAATGTGTCACTAGAATATGATACTTATCATCGAATATTATTTAATTTACGATTTATTTCGATCGGAATGCACATGGAGTCCCGCGCCATTTTCGTCGACG